CTGAGGACTGGGAGCAAGAACAGGACTCACCGCTCCCACAGCCGCAGGCAGGAACAACCTGCAGCCTCCTGCGCCCCACCCTCTTAGTCCAATTACAGCCCCGCGGAAGCTTGGAGCCCCCACCCTCAGGGCTGGCGCGTCTCTCGGCTCGGCAACCCTAACCCTAACCCTAACCCTCTCTTTTCTTGGGGCGAATGAAAACTTTACTCTCTTCGCTGTGTGAGCCCTTTCACAGCCGCGTCACCGACCACCCCACCAGGGAGGCTCTGCAGTCGACACGGAGAATGGCTGACCTCAGGCCGCGGAGCAGAGGCCCTGACAGGCTGCAAGACGGCGCGGCGGCCGGCGGTGACCGGCAGGACTGGCCGTGGGGCCACCTGGTCTAAGCAAAGGGGCAGCCATGGGGGTGCCTATCAGTGGCAGGGGGCCGAGCACACGCAGGTCTGGGCTCACCCTGTTAGGCAGCCGAGGCGGCTGAGAAAGGGTTGGGAGCCAAGAAGGTCCAAATAAGGGCTTTTAGCCCCGGCTGGTGCAGCTCAGTGGATTGAGCGCCGGCCTGCAAACCAAAGGTCGCCCGTTCGATCCCCAGCCAGGGCACAGGCCTGGGTTGCGGGCCAGGTCCCCAGTAGGGGGCGTACAAGAGGCAACCACACATGGATGTTTCTCTCCCGCTCTCTCTCCCTCCCTTCCTCTCTAAAAATAAATACAATCAAAAAATAAAATTAAAAAAAAAAAGACCTTTATTTGAGGCGGGACACTGCAGGGCCGAGCAGGGAAAGGGAAGGAGGGTTTTTAAGGGCGTGTAGTTTAAGGGCGTGTAGCAGACCCTCAGGGAGAAGGGGCCGCCCTGCTGGTCTGCCGCAGGCGGCCTGGGTGTCAGTATTTGCAAGACAATGTCCTGGGATCAGGGATGGCAGTTTCAGGACAGAAAGTCCCAGGGGATCTTTGGGCCTGGTTTCCGGGAAAAGCCCAGCGGAGAGGGGAGGGGCGGTGAGGATTCAACCAGGCTCCAGCAGGAGGCCGGTGGCTCTGCCTCCGCGGCTTCTGAGAAGAGGGAATCTCGGGGTCATGTATTTAGCCAGCGGTGCTCCCTTCTTTCTTCCAGTGCAGGCGATGGCGCAGGTCCTCTGTGTTCCGGTACATTCCAACAGCCCCTTTCCCAATGCCCAGGCTTGGTCACTTCATGGATCTGGGTCCCTGGACAGAAAAAGGGATTAGACGGCCAGGAGGAAGGATACGCCAGCAGCCCCAGAGACAGCCAGCCTCCCCCAGCCTGCGGTGCCCCCGGGGGGCATGCGGGTCAGGGTGGGGCCGAGCCCTCCTGAGCATCACCGGAGAGGCCTCGCGGCGTCTCCGAGCCTCATCTGGGTCTCTGTCTCCGACAAAACGGGTGCAGGTGGCGCAGGTGTCCCGGGCAGGTCCACGGAGCCCTGGCCACTCCACCGGCTGCGTCGCGCCCTGGGGTTCGGCTTGGAATACAGTGCTTGAGGGGGGAGCCCAAGAGTTGAACATTTTTTAGCTTTTGCTTCTCGTTAATAAGCTGAGGGACTAACACGTGTAGAAAGCTGTCGTTCCAGGACCTGGAACGTGTGACCGGACTCACCCCGACTCCAGATCCGCAAGCCGCGGGGCGGCTGCGCCCCAGGAGGACCGCTGGGCCCCAGGCGGAGGCTGCGCCCAGGACGCAGATAAAGAACCGCCCCTGAGCGGGTGAAGGGACGCGGCCGGGCTGCGCCTTTACCTGATTAACCTTTCCCCGGAACTCCCAGCCGCTCGCCCGCGTCAGGGACGGTCCCCGAGGGCACATAACCCGCTGTCCTCTCAGATCACCGGCCTTGGGAATAAAACGCCCACAAAGACCCCATCCCTGTATCTGTTGTACTCGCCGGCTCTGGTGCTGACCGGGTGGTTTCAGGCTCCCTGTGACGGGAGGCCACTTGTCCTGCGCCCCGTGGCCCAGGCCCAGGGCTGCGGGAGGCCGCTGTCCCACCCCACTGGGGCCCTTCCGACGCTCTGGGTGGCCGGTGCCGGGGCCCTGCGTGGGATTGAGGCCGAGACTCCCCCGACCACCTGGGTCCCGGGCCCCCAGGCTCCCCTGGCTCGGACTCTGTCTCCAAATCTCTCTCCTCTCACATCCCCCCACCCCTGCTGAGGGGGGGGGCCAGCAGTGCCTGACGGGCTGGGCCCTCCTCCAGTGCCTGCCCAGCCCGGCGTGGGCACCACCTCAGGGCAGCGCCCTCAGCTCGGAGCCAGGCGCACCCTGCACGGTGCGGGCGGGCGGGCGGGGCCCCTCCTGGGGCCCCTCGCAACCTGGGGCTCCGGGCTTTCCGGGAAGACACGCTGCTGCGCCCTGACGTGGGGCGCGCGCGTGGTCTGGAAAAGGGGGCCTGGGTTTCCGCAAGGAAACGACGGAGCCTTGCGTGCCGCTGTGACGTCACAGGGCAGGGAGCCTGAGAGGTGGACCGGCGTGGGGGGCGGAGGGCGCTCGGGGACGGGGCGTGGCTCCGCGCAGTGCAGTCTGGGCCCCCGCAGGGCCGGCGGAGGGTTTCTCCCGCACCGAAATGATACGGCGGGAGAGACTAGCCCACCAGTTGTAAGGGGCGGACCCTGTGGGGCTGTTGGCTTGAGCAAACTGTGTGCAGCCATGCATGTGAAATCATAGGTCTGTGTGTGTGTGTGTGTGTGTGCACATGTGTGAATGTTGACGGCGGACCATCTTCGATATTGAGGAATTACGGATTTTTAAATTTTTCTTAAAAAAAAAAATACAGTTCTTTAGTTCCCTGGCTGGTTTGGCTCAGTGGACTGAGCGCCGGCCTGCGAACCAAAAGGTCATCGGTTCGATTCCCACTCAGGGCACAGGACTGGGTTGGGGCCAGGCGCCCGGTAGGGGGCGCGCGAGAGGCAACCGATCCCTGTTTCTCTCCCTCCCGCCCTTCCCCTCTCTCTACAAATTAAAAAATCTAAAAAAAATTAATAATTTTGAAAGTATAGGAAAATGGCCGTTTCTGGTGTTCAGTTCCGAGTTTAACACACAAGTCGCTGTGTGGGGGTCCCCACGGCCATCAGGATGCAGAGCAGCGCCACCCCCCGCCCCCGCCGAAAGCCCCCTTGTGTTGCTCCCCAAGTCCTGGAAACCACGTCCGTTCCCCCTCACTGGCCCCTGACCTTTTGACAAAGTCTGGCCACGCGACCTCTCAGACTGGCTTCTTTCTCTCCCACGTGTCTCAGGTTACCCCAGGTAACAGCACCTGTGCCGATTCCAGGGGCAGACGGGGCTGCCGCCCACCCAGCGGTGGCCTAGGGCCCCCCAGGAGGCCCGTGGCGCGTGGCTCTGAGGACTGGACGTGCTGAGGACATCGCCGTCCAGGCTTTTGAGTGAAGGCCAGTTTCCTTTTCTCTGGGGCAAATCCCCCGGGATGGGAACCCTGGCTCACGTGCTGCAGGCAGCTGACTCTTTAAAAAACGCTAAGCTGGAGCTGAGGGCGGCCGCACCATTCAGCATTCACACAATTTACAAGGCATGGGCGTCCCAGGCTCTGCCTCCTCGCCCGCAGTGACCCAGTGACCCCCCGCCCGTTTACCAGGACTCACGGGGGGGGGGGGGGGTGCGCCCTGGGGTGCAGGGCCTCGGTGTTCGAGGTGGGGACTCCTGCGAAGACCAGGATGGCTGGTCGTCCTACCCTTGCCAACGCTTGTGTCAGTATTTTTTATTTTAGCCACTCAAATGTGTGTGTCTTGTCTCATTCAAATATGCATTTTCCTGAAGGTTGATGAGGTTGGAGCATCGGTTCACCTGCTGTTTGCCATCCTACACCCTCTCTGGTGAACTGCCTGCGTCTAGAATCAATTTTTTCTAATTGGATTGTCTTCTGACTGTTGGGGTTTGAGAACTTTTTAGTGTTTTTTCTCTCTATATAGATATGTGATTTCCAGTACTTGTCTTTTCCTTTGGTTAATGGTGTCTTTCTGAAAGCAAAATTTAAAATTTTTGATAAAGCCCAATTTATCTTTTTCTTTATTTGTGGTAAAATATTTACCATTTGAACCATTTTTAAGTGTACAATTTAGTGACATTAAATGCACTTCCAGGGGCTTTACCACCCCAAGCAGACAGACACTGCCGCCGCGGAGAAACCGCTCCCCTCGCCGGGAAAACTTGGCTGCACTGTCCGTCTCCGGAGCGGGCCTGCGGCGGGCACCTTTTACGGGCGAAATCGCACAAGCCTGGTCTCCTCGGGACCGGCCCCCTTCCCTCCGCACGCTGCCTGCATGGCTCTCCCCGTCGTCGCCCACGACAGAGCTGAACTCCTTCCCGGGCTCATCCTATTGATTTGCAGGCGCGAGGAAACGCCTTCGCCATCTTCTCGGCGCAGCGCCGCGGCCTCCAGCACATTCACAGGCGCAGCCGCCGCACGCCCGCTCCCGGGCCCGCCCCACGCCTCGTCTTTGTCCCCTTGGGCCCGGATCCCCGGGACCTCAGGCCCCGTAGGGTCGCACAGCCTGTGTCCTTCGGATCTGGGGGCTGCGCTCAGCGGCGGCCCCGCGGGCCCGGGCTGCCGAGACGGCGACGCTCCCTTCGCAGGTGTGGCCTGACCCATCCGTCGGCTGTTTCATCCCCCCCGGCGCCGGGCTGCGCCCACGACCTCCACCGCGGCGGGGGTGGTCTGGGGTGGGGGGTGCAGCAGAGCACGGAGGAGCGCAGAAAGGAGAGGACGAGAGGCGGGGGGCAGCCCCGGCGCCCCGCCTCCAGGACCCGTCCCCGCCCCCGGCCCTTCCCCGCCCCGCCCCGCAGCCTGCCGGGAGACGTAGTCCGGCGCCTTTCGGAGAGCCGGACTCGGAGTCCCAGCGAGCCCCGCGGCGCGCCTCCCGTCCGCAACACCGCCTCGCCCTGTGGCCTGCCGGGACTTGTAGTCGAACGCCGACGGACGCTCAGGTGCGGGGCGATCGGCGGGACTCGGTGTCCCAGAGAGCCCCGCGCTGGGCCACGACGCCGCGCACCGCCCTCGCCGTCCTCGCCGCCGCCGGCCTTTCTCCGGCCGACGCCGCTACTGCCGTTGCTTTGCGGGTTGGAGGGCCCCGGCGTCCCGGGGCGAGCGGAGACTGCGGGTGGGAGCCTGCGTGGGCCCTGCGGAGCGGGCCGGGGGAGGCCGGGATGGCGCGCCCCGGAGGTGGGCGCGCTGCCGGGCGAGCCCGCGCCTGGGGCGGTTGGGGAGGGGCCGAGCGGTGGGCGAGGGGGGCGGGGGAGGAGGCGCCGGGGGCGGGCCGGTGCGGGGAGCGGGCCCTCGGGCCGGGGGCTGCGGTGGGAGGGGCTTCAGGGCGGCCCCCGGCGGGCGGGGCCCGTGGGCCCGGGCGGGTGCGCTGCAGTGGGGGTTTTTCCTGGGGTTGGGGGCTCTCCTGACTCCAGCGCGACCCGCCTCCACCCCGAGCGGGTTCCCAGACGGTCAGTGGAGGGGGCGGCCGCCCGGCCCGGCGAGCCCGGGTGCTCTGAGCGGGGCACCGAGCCGTCCTCCTCTCCCTGCAGTTGACTGAAGCCAGCGGCCGGGTTCCAGAGCCTCCAGGCGGGATCCAGGGGCCTCCGGGGCTGCACCGGATGGTCTGAGGGCGGCGCAGACATGGCTCATCTCCGGGGATTTGCCAACCAGGTGAGGGTGGGACTCTGGGTTGCGACCGCGCGCGTGCTGAGCCCCTTGGGACGGGAGCACCGGCTGCAGCGCCGTGCAGGGACGTCTTACTGCACCAAGATCTCTGCTTTGTGCGTGATCCTGGGGTTTCAGATGCGCCCCCCAGGATGCTGCACGTCTGGGCAGAGCGGGGGCCAGTCCTCCCGCACTGCACTGGCCGGGCACGGGGCTGACGCCGGCTGGTCCGTGCAGCGTTTCGTTGGGCAGACGCCCCCGTTCGAGATTGGTGTCAGGATTGGTGGCCGGCGTGCAGAGACCCGACCCGGAGGGCGCGGCGGGCGCGTGGGCGGGAGCCTGGGCCTGCACCCCTGCCCTCTGAGTCCACACTGGAGGCTGGGCCTGGGCTGGGGTCACGCCCGCCGTGTTGGGCTGTGGCAGGGGCTCTGGGGGGACCGCCCCCCCCCCCCACGGGCACTGAGAGCAGCTGGGAACATGGGGAACCAGCTGTTGTCTCGGAGGCCGTGTGTGGGGAATGCAGAAGAGGCGGGCTTGTTTTCCTTGACCGGATGTGGGGAGGGCTGGTCTGCCTAGCCTGGTCCACGCAGGCCAGGTGTGCTTATCTGGGCGGTGCCAGCTGTCCCTGTCCTCTCTGGTTCATCGGTTCCTGTAATTTGCGACACCGTCTGACTCTGGGGGACTCTCTGCACTTGTGCCCTGAGTTTGCCTGGAATGAGGATCTGCTGGTCACTCTGGAAAGGGGAGTTTCGGGGGGGCTTATGGTCTGTATCTTACCAATTTTGTTATTTCAAAGCAAGTGCGATGGGACACCTGTTTGATGCGTAGAGAACCCGGGTGGCAGGTGTTCCCCTCGAGGGGCCAGCGCAGGCGGATTTAGGCCGACTGCTGTCGGGGGTGGGGAGGACAGGGGCAGCAAGTCGCCCTCTGGCGGGCACCTCCTGGGCACACCGTGTGCAGGGCCAGTGGGGGTGGTGTGCAGGAGGCGTGTGTCCACGTGTGGCCGGGGGAGTGGGAGCCAGGGTTCAGCACCAGACCCCGCCGGGCTCTTCGGAGGAACCCGGCAGGCCACGCGCAGCTGTTGAGCCGGGCACCCGGGACCAGCTGTGACCACAGATGAGGCCGGGGCTTGCTGACTGATGCCGAGTTGTGCTGACAGCTTTTTCATTCCGTCGTCTGCGTGGTGTCTGGTGAATGACAGGACTGAGGCCCTGGGGGAAGTCCGCCTCCAGCTCCTCTGTAGGGGCTGCCAGCTGGGCTCCTCGGGGCCCCGGAGTGAGGAACCGCCCCCCACCCCCGCCCGTGTGCTGACAGTGCTCGTGTGGGTGTCCGGTCAGTCCCAGGAGGGGGTGCAGGCACGGAGGGGCTGGGGGACCCCAAAGGAAGGAAGCCTCCTTTGTCCTTGCAGGGGTGGCGAGACTCCGCCTTTGTCAGTGGCAGGAAGCCTGACAGGAGAGCACTTTCTCTTGAGACGTGGTCACTGCCCTGTGGGGTGGTCCCCCGCGGCCTGTGCTCTGGCCTAGGCCTTGCGCTTCCCCCCCGCCCCCGCAGGTTCCTGCCCCACCTGCAGGGCCTGAAGGGCTGCGCGTGCTCCCTGGCTGCTGCCTGTCATGTGGCGGGTGGCGGCAGCTTGGCCCCTCTTGTTTTGTGGGGTGGCACTAGTGGCAGGCACACCCCCACTCAGTGGACCCAGCACTGGCAGCAGCAGGCTGATTTGGAGAACGAGGGTCTTGACCACCAGAGCCAGTCGAGCGACCGGAGCGAGGGCCCAGACCACATGCATCGCCCCGGAGGGTGGCCCCGGGCCCCCAGAAGGCGGCGCCAGCCTTCCCTCCCCACGCCAGGCGGGGGCGCCGTCCTGCGATCGCCTGCAGAGCCTGCGTCCTCGCCAGGGCTCTTCTGTCCCGCGCTGAGCCGCAGAGGTGGGGCCCCCCAGAGCGTCAGAGTTGACGGCTGGGGCCCCCCTTCCCTGTCGAGCCCGAGTCGAGCTTAGGGGTGTGCTGTGTTCCACTCAAGGTGGTGGGTTCCCCTCCAGTGGCCGCGGGGACCAGCTGCAGCTCTGACCTGCGGGCGAAGCAAGCAGGACAGCGCTGTCCGGGGGGCCGGGCGAGGGGTCGAGTTGTCCACAGAGGCCTGGGGGCGGCTGGGGACCCGGGGAGCCGGAGGGTGGCGGCGCTGAGGGTGCTGCCAGGCCGCGGCCCCTCTGGGTCTCCTCTCAGGCCACCTTGCAAGAAGAGGGACTGTCCTTGCAAGGACAGGACACGGGGGAGCGCGCCCGCTGGCCTGGCCTCCCGCGGTGGCCGGGTGTCTCGCAGGGCAGCCCGTGGGCAGGTGCTGCTGGGCCCGTGGGGGAGGAGCGGCAGAGCGGGGCCCTTCTGGGACCGCAGTCCGCACGTGGCCGAGGGTGAGCGGGGAGCGGCGAGGCCCCAGCCAGGTCAGAGCCGGCTCTGCCTCCAGCAGGAAGGTGTTTCGTGCTGGTTGTCGAGCGATTGTTGGTGTGGGCCGTGCGTTGAGGAGAGGCAGCTCTCCTCTCGGGCTGGTGTGCTCCGCTTTCCCTGTCCTGCCCCCGGCTTTGGCTTTGGGGACTTCTGGCGGGAGTTGGCTGCACGCGTCGGCGGCTGTCTCTTCCTCCACGTGCACTGGGGTGCCGGTGCCGGTGCCGGTGAGAAGGGCCACGTTCCTTAGCTGGCTGAGCCAGGGTGCAGTGGACGCAGCCCCTGGCCCTGCCCAGCCTGCTCGTGGGACAGGGTCCTCTGGAGACGCTGCCGCTGGCCCACAGAGCCTGCTCACCTGCCGTGGGCGCCCCTCACGCTTCTGACCCGCCGGGCGCCCAGTCAGCCTGGGTGTGGCACAGGCGGGGGCCTGCGCGCCCCCTTCCTCCCCCCAGGGTAGGAGCCCCAGGAAGGCAGGTGACTGGCGGTTTTTGATTGATGCGCAGTGTCCGTCGGGGGCAGGCTGGGCCAGGGCGGGCTCTGTGGGGGGTGAGGCCGGGTAAGCGTGTGCTCTGCGGGGCGCGCGCCATCCGTGAGCTGGCGCGTCAGCACCCAGCACAGCGGGCGTGATTGTGTCGCTTTACGTTGGCCCTGGTGCAGGGGCTTGCGTTGGGGGACGGCCTCTTCGGGGGCAGGTGTGCCCCGGGGGGCTTGGAAACGCCTCTGCCCAGACTCAATGGTGGACTCCCAACTCCAGCCCCTCCCAGGCCCTGCCAAGGCCGCTGAACGCGGGTCCTGGACGCCCAGTGCCTGCGTCACCGGGCCTGTGAGGGCCGACCTGGCTTTCTGAGGACACGTCTGGTGGTGGGTGGGGTGCAGTGTGGGCAGGGGCTCAGGGCGCCCCTGGGCGGCTCTCTGGCCTTGCTGTCCCCCCCACGCAGCCCCCACGTGCTGCAGGCAGGACGAGAGTGCGGTTCTCGGCCTGCAGACGTGGCTCTGCCCCGCCCGGGGCACCAGCAGCTCTGCACCTTCCCGGGCTCGTTTGTGTTCAAATCCGAGGACCCCGTGGGGGGCTGTTTCCCGTGACATTTGTGTCCAGGGTCCTGAGGGGGGAGGGGAGCCCCTTCTAAGGGGTGTGGCTGCCGGGCGTGTTGTGTTTGAAAGACATTTTCTAGAGCAGTTTTTTTTTTTAAGATGCATTTGTTTTTAAAGAGGGAGGAAAGGAGTGAGAAACATCTGTGTGAGAGAAACACTGATCAGTGGCTTTTGTGCATGTTCCGACCGGGAATAGAACCGGTGGCCTCTCACGCTGTGGGACGATGCCCGACCCACTGAGCCACACTGGTCAGGGCCAGCCCAGTCGGAGGTTCACAGAGAAGAACGCGCGCTGTGGAGTGTGCCTGGTGCCAGGGCGGCGCCCAGCCGCGAACGTCCAGGGCCGGCGCGCTGCGCTTGTCACAGCCGAGCGTCGGTGTGGGTGCGGCGCGGGACGGTCTCACTGCCGAAAGCCTCCGCACTGCACCTGCTCGCCCCACTCCACCCATCGGAGGGCGTCCCTTGGTCCTCCCTGCCCGTGGGTGGGCAGTGGGCCCGACCTTCGTGGGCCCCCGCCTGCTCCGCAGCCCACGCCTTGGGTGGGGTCAGGCCCCTGCGCTCTCTGGGGATCTTCCCTGGTGTTGAGGGTGCGCTTGGGTCCTGTGAACTAAACAGGAGAGGAGAAGAAACACGAACAGGGCCTGGCTGAGCGCCTGGCACTTGGGGACCCCATGTCGCCGCGGGGTCGCGCTCCCCTGACGGGCCGCCTGCCCCGTGTCCCCAGCACTCGCGGGTGGACCCCGAGGAGCTCTTCACCAAGCTGGACCGCATCGGCAAGGGCTCCTTCGGGGAGGTGTTCAAGGGCATCGACAACCGCACCAAGGAGGTGGTGGCCATCAAGATCATCGACCTGGAGGAGGCGGAGGACGAGATCGAGGACATCCAGCAGGAGATCACCGTGCTTAGCCAGTGCGACAGCCCCTACATCACCCGCTACTTCGGCTCCTACCTGAAGGTGCCTGGGGCGGGGCCCGGGCTCGGGTGGACGCCTGGGGCTCCTGGGGCTCCTGGGGCCGGGGCCGGGGCCGAGCCCCGCGTGGGGGCAGTGTCGGAAGGGGCCTGCTGTGCGGCTGGGGCCCCGGCCGCTGAGCATGGACACAGCTTCAGGGTAGGGCAGGCCTCCCAAACCAAGGCCGAGGGCCAGGCTGGTGGCCTCATCTCGAGGGCGAGCCCCGGGATGCGAGGGCGTGAGCGGGGTCCGCGAGCCTGAGTTGGCCACGGGACCCGCAGGCCGGGGCAGCTCCTGGGGTGGCGGAGCGAGGCCCGGCTGGGAGCCCCCGGGACCCCGACGTGGGGCCGGGGCACGCAGCGCGCGCTGCGTCGAGGCCGTCTGCCCGCGGGGTTTTGGCGGGGTGTTGCGGGGCGGGCCCGGCCGCTGGTCTGAGCGCTGGTGTGACCTCAGAGCTGCTGTCAAGGGCGTGGCAGGAGGGGAGCTGGGCGAGGCCGCTGAAGCCCTTTCCTGGGGGCCCCAAGGAGTGCGTGCCTGGGGGCGGTGGGCCCCCTGCCCCCTGCCGTGGGCTGACAGGCGCTTGTCTGGTCCCAGAGCACGAAGCTGTGGATCATCATGGAGTACTTGGGCGGCGGCTCCGCGCTGGACCTGGTGAGCCTGTACCTGTGGGCGCCGTGCGGGGACGGGGCCAGCTCGGGGGGCGTCCGCTGAGTCCCGGGGCCCCAGGGCCGCCTCTCCTTGGCTGCCTTGGTGCTTTAGGTTCAGTCAGGAGCCAGCTGGGCCCAAACCGGCCGCTAGTTTTAGGGGCCCCCAGACGTCCCGGCTCAGGGCTGTGGCCGGGACCCCGTTCTGCCATCACCTTTACAGCAGGGGCGGCGTTCTCTAACAATGTCCTCTCCCCACCCACCTGACGCCCACCGGAAACGTCTTATTTTCAAAGTAGTTAAAGGAGTAGGAAGCCCCACCATGCCCAGGGTGCCCGCCCCGTGCCCCGTGGAAGGCGGTGGAACTCGGGCCTTGGGGACGGCCGGGCGGTGCGGCAGCAGAGCCTGAGGCCGCCCTGCCGTCCGTGCAGCTGAAGCCGGGCCCGCTGGAGGAGACCTACATCGCCACCATCCTGCGGGAGATCCTGAAGGGGCTGGACTACCTGCACTCGGAACGCAAGATCCACAGGGACATCAAAGGTCCCTCGGGGCACAGCTCCGGCCCGGGCCCCCGAGCCCCACGACCCCGGGAAGGCCAGGGCATGGGGCGGCGGGTTGCCGTGGGCGTGGGGCTGGTGGTGCCGGGCGTCTGGGACACGGGGGCCCATGTGGCTCGGCGGCCGTGAGGCCCTGAGCGTGGCTGTCAGCCCTGTCGCCGGAAGGCACGGCTGGTCCCGGGGAGCGCGCTCGGCCCCGGGGCACGGGGAGGCCCCGGCCGTGCGCCCGGTGTGAGGAGGACCCCTAGTGAAGCTGCCAGCGCACGTTCCTGTCCGTGCCGGGCGTGGGCTGGCCCTGCCGAGTGGCTGCGGTTGGGCCGTGGCTGCGGGCTGGCGGGGCGCCGGTGGGGTCAGGGTCCCCTCTCTATTGGGCGCGTAGGGAGGAAAAGGCAGTTGCTCTGTTCTTGGATCTGCCCTGAAGGGCGGTCCCTGGCCGGGCCCGGAGCTCGGGCCGGGGGCTTGCAGGGCGGGCCCCTCACGCCGGCTGGCACCCCCTGGCACTGCCCTGTGGCCTTGGGTCTGAGGCTGGACGGGCCTGGCCCGGTCTCTGGCCTGCTGGGTGGAGAGGCATGCGGGGGTCCCGGGGACAGCTCTGCCGGTGTCACCAGGAGGCCCGGTGGCTGCACACAGGGTGGGGGGCCCACGTGGCTCCGGGGGTGACGCCCTGCCGTCCCGTGTCGAGCAGCTGCCAACGTGCTGCTCTCAGAGCAGGGCGACGTGAAGCTGGCGGACTTCGGGGTGGCGGGGCAGCTCACGGACACGCAGATCAAGAGGAACACGTTCGTGGGCACCCCCTTCTGGATGGCGCCCGAGGTCATCAAGCAGTCGGCCTACGACTTCAAGGTGCGCACGGCGGGCGCGAGGGAGGCGGCGGCAGGGCTCGGGGTGCCCCGGTGGCGGACGTCCTGTGTGGCCCTGTGCAGGCGGACATCTGGTCGCTGGGGATCACGGCCATCGAGCTGGCCAAGGGCGAGCCTCCCAACTCGGACCTGCACCCCATGCGCGTCCTGTTCCTGATCCCCAAGAACAGCCCGCCCACGCTGGAGGGCCACCACAGCAAGCCCTTCAAGGAGTTTGTGGAGGCCTGCCTCAACAAGGACCCCCGATTCGTAAGCCTGCCTGGGCACCCGCTTCGGGGGTCTGTGGTGGGAGCCGGGAGGTGGCAGGGCCTGAGGCCCCGCCTAGTCCAGGGTCTGGGGGAGCTCCTGGAGGGCCTGGGGTGGACGGTGTGCGGGGCTCGCTGCAGAACCTGGGGTCCAGCCCGTGCCCAGTGACGCATGTCCACGCCCCGCAGCGGCCCACGGCCAAAGAGCTCCTGAAGCACAAGTTCATCACGCGCTACACGCGGAAGACCTCCTTCCTGACCGAGCTCATAGACCGCTACAAGCGCTGGAAGTCTGAGGGGCACGCCGAGGAGTCCAGCTCCGAGGACTCAGACATGTGGGTCGCCCGTCCCCTGGGGCTCCCGCGCTGGACGGCGATGCGCGGGGGCCCACGCTGCGGGGCGGGGGCTTGGGCGCTTGGCTGCTGGGGGCCTGTGCGGCCACCCAGCACGTGGGGCCGCGAGGCTGCCTCAGGAAGTAGTGGGGGGGGTGCTGGGTAGCGTGTGCTTGGGGCCCCCAAGTCCTGGCCCTCGGGGCTCTCGCGACTCTTCCCCGCCTTTGCAGTGATGGGGATGCTGAGGACGGCGAGCAGGGCCCCATCTGGACCTTTCCCCCCACCATCCGGCCCAGCCCGCACAGCAAGCTGCACAAGGGGACAGCTCTACATGGCCCCCAGAAGGTGCGGCCCAAGCCCAGCCCCTCGTGTGCAGGCGGGTGGGGCCTGTCAGCTGGGGAGGAGGCTTGGGAGGGTGTGCCCTGGCCCGGAGCTCCCCACGGGTGTGCGTTTCGAGGAGGCCGGGGGGGGGGGGCGTTCACCGGCCCCCCGCTCATGGGCTGCGCTGCCCTGCTGACCCGCGTGGCCTTGCCCCTGCAGCCCGCGGAGCCCGTCAAGAGGCAGCCGCGGTCCCAGTGCCTGTCCACACTCGTCCGGCCTGTCTTTGGAGAGGTGAGGGCCAGGCCGGGGGTCCTGGGGGCAGGGGCGGTGGCACTGTGCACACAGGGTTTCCGGAGCCCCTGGGGTTGGCCGTGGTTGGTAGCAGAAGAGCTAGAAATGGTCGGGGCAGGTGGCCCCGACGTGACGCTGTCCAGTTCCCCGGCCGCGCCGTGTCCCCCGGGGTCCCAGGATGGCTGTGCACTGCAAACACGGGTGACCAGAAGCGCCCAGAAGGCCTCTTTTGGGACATCGGGCCCAGGGCAGGGAGGCCTCAAGGTGACTGACTCCCACGTCCGTGTCACCTGCTGACGGGCAGGTGGATAACACCCAGGACGACGATGTAGCCAGGAGCCCCTGCACCCTGGACTCTGGGCGGCAGTAGGTTGTGTGACCATTTCCCACCCCAGAGAGCAGCACCCGCCACCCAGGGAGGGCGGGCAGGGCGCAGCAGAGCCTTCCCGAGGGCAGGACAGGCAGGCTTTGACCCCTGCCCCCTGCCCCCTGCCCCCAGAACCTGGGTTTGCGGGAAGGAGGTTGTGTCAGGTGGAGCAGGGGCTGCGCGGTGGGAGCGTGTGAGCTCAGTGTGAACACCTGGGTCCGAGGCCGGGCAGGACCTGGCTGCCCCCCGCCAGACCGCTGCAGCCCCGGGAGGCAGAGCTCCGCCTGAGCCGCCCTGGCCCTGCCGCCGCCTCCCTTCCAGGCCAGTGGCCCCCGCGGGCTCCCTCGAGCCCCCCAGGTCGGGGCTGGCAGTCCAGATGTGCACTGCATGCTGGGAGTGAGTTTCTGGGCTGTTCTTGCAAGTCTGCTGGACCTGAGCCCTGAGCTGCCCCCCATAATGGGGAGGAAGCCCCGTGGTTGGCCGGGCCCCACAGCAGGGAGGCTGGCAGAGATTCCTTCTGAGAACCAAGACCCTCGGGTGCTCCGTGGGGCCCCCAAATGCAAGTCAGAGGCGAGGGGCCAAAAAGCCTGCGGCGCGAGCCTCTGACCAGGCGCCCGGTGGTCGGCCCGCAGCTCAAGGAGAAGCACAGGCAGAGCGGTGGGGGCGTCGGGGCGCTGGAGGAGCTGGAGAACGCCTTCAGTCTGGCCGAGGAGTCCTGCCCCGGCATCTCGGACAAGCTGATGGCCCACCTGGTGGAGCGGGTGCAGAGGTGTGGGCGTGGCCCGGGGGGCGGTCGGGGGTTTCGCCGCGGTCACTGCGGGAGGCGCGCAGCCTTTCCTGCCCACACGGGCAATGCTGGGAGGCATCCCTGTCCCCCCAGGCCCTGCACTGGGGCCGGGGCGGTGACAGGCCTGCCTCCTCCAGGTTTTCCCACAACAGAAACCACCTGACATCTGCCCGCTAAAGCTGCTGAGGGGCGAGGGGGGTCCCGTCTCGAGCTCTGCGAGGACTGTGCTGACTTGGAACGCCCGCGGGTCATGGCCCCTTTCCTGTGCTGAGGGCCCTCCACTTCCTTCCCCTCTCGCCCGGGCTGTGGCTCCCTGGCAGCAAAGAAGCTGGAGGACTGTGTGGCCTGGGGGCGGCAGGCGCAGTCCCCACACCTCCCCCTGGTGGGCCGTCCCCCCGCCTTGGGCTCCGGTGGCGGGCTCTGGTGGCGGCCACTGGCAAGGACGACGAGGAGGAGGAGGAACAGAGACCAGCAGGCAGGTCGGCCTCCCCGCCCCGCCCCGCCCCCTGGGCCCATGATGGCTCACAGCCGTAGCAGACCTGCCTTGTGGTGTGGGCCCAGGTACCGCGGCCTCTCGCGAGTGCGCGTGTCAGCCAGAACGTGTGTGTGACACCTGAACTCCGCACTTCCCCGTGTGCTCTGAGGTGAGGGTGTTAGTTTCCTAGAACGTGGGGAGACTCCTGTCGCTTTCAATAAAGACCCGACTGGGGACCTGGCGTCTGAGTTGTCACAGCGCACGGCCACCTCGGAGGGACCTGAGGCAGCATGGAGGCCACGGGCAGGTGCAGAACGTTGCCCTTTATTCTCAGCCACGCACAAGCACGGGGAAGGCGTGTATGTCAACTCCCACTTGTTAAGCAACAGCGGGAACTAATAAATTAGAGGCCCTCGCCCTCCCAGGGCACAGGGGGCTTTGGTTTCCACTTTCCAGAGCTGTGAGAGGTGGACGCTGGAGCGGCTTCTGCTGGACTTCGGTGCCTCGCCCCTGCTGACCCAGACTGAAGGACGGGGTGGAGCTCGTGGCCGCAGCCGGTGGCCGCGGGCCCTGCGCTGCGAGGACAGGTCGCGGCCTGCGTTTCAGCTCGCGTGCGTGCTCCCAGGGCCTCCCAGGGCCAGCGGCTGCGCTGGGTCTTCAGGGGAACAGTGTCCCTGCCAGGTGTCCCTGGGAGGCCCCCCACACAGCCGGTCCATTGTTGGGAAGCCGGGATGAGCAGCTGAGGGGCCCGGCTGGCCGCACTGCGCCGCCTGCTCCATCCTCGCTGAGGCAGGAGGGCCGTCACGCCTCCTTGGGGGCCCCGGCCTGCCCGGGCGAGCTGCTGGCCCTCTCGATCACCTCCATCCACCTGGAGGAGGGGCAGCCTGTCAGAATGCCCAGGACGCGTGCTTGGGAAGCAGGGCACTTGCTGGCCATCTGACTGTGGGCTTGTGCTCAAATTGCTAAAATATTTCCCAAGAACGACCCAAAACACGGAACGAGTGGGACGAGACGAGGGCCAGTGAAAAGTCGGGAGCCCGGGCAGCCGTCCTGCCCCGGCCCCGCCGGCAGGCCCCCCGGTTACCTCCCAAACGTGTACTTGCTCTCAGCCCGGAAGAAGTAGACATGGGACTTGAACTGCAGCTTGAAGACGTGCTCCTTGTGGATGCCGTCGGCCTCCCTGGGGGCGCTCACGCTGTAGCCCAGCAGGGGGAGGCTGGCCAGCGGGTAGTCGTCCTGGAAGGCGGGGCAGCACAGCTCCGTGGGCGCCCCGGCCCCTCCCCTGACCCCGGCAGTGGGGCCCCGGGACAGGGTACGGAGATTCTGGGGTGGGGCGGGGGCCACCGCAGGCCCACATAAGCACCCCTACCTGATGTGTTTTGTAGAAGAACAAACAGAAATTGGTGAAGACCACCCAGAGCCTCTGCCAGCCATTACTGTTTTTGAACTTTCTTAGCAGATACCCTGAAAGCTGGTTCTGAAAGGAACAGTGTGATCAGTCAGGGTCCCAAGACCCCAGCCCACCAGGGCACGCGCCCCCCTGGCTCCATCCCCCCGGGTCCCCTGGGAGCAGGGGTGCTGCCCCAGAACACAGGCTGCCCCCTCTGCGGTTGAACAAGTGTGTTCTCCCCTTACAACCGTCACACGTGCCCCGGCGTGGGGTGAGGACACCGGCACAGACCACACAGAGCTGCGTCTGGGAGGCCCCTTCACGTGGCGGGGGGGGGCGGGCGGGGCCCCCAGCAGCAGGCTCTGCAGCGTGCCCTCCCCAGGCTGGTGCCAGCACTCCTGTGCCCTCACCCAGGGGACACCTGGGGACCTTTCCACACCCAGGCGTGGACCCCTTGGTGGGCGGCTCTGGGGCTCCCCTGTTCTTGTGCTCCCCAGGTGTCGGGGGCCCCCCGACAGGTGAGCTTGGGGCTCTTGTCATTCCTGCCCTCAAGCTCACCGCCCACAGCCAGTCCAGCACCTGGGCACACAGGCCCCCGGGGTCCCGGTCACCCCAGCGCCCTGGCAAACCCTGGGGCCCCACGCGCCAGCCCCGCGTGTACCTCGACCGCTGCGCTGTGGTCGGCCCGGGAGACGCTGGTATTGCGGTACCAGCACACGTGCACCGTGGTGTTGGCCCGGTGCTGGCCCTGCCCCGACGGGGGGCTGTAGGCGCCGCGGGAATCTTCTTCCGACTCCTGCTCCAGAGAGGCCTCATCGGAGGGTCCTGGGGGGACGGCGCCCTCCACTCAGGGGGAGGGGCCGCCCTGGGGAGCGGGGAGCCCTCCCTTGGTGCCTGGTCCCCGGGGAGAGAGCAGGCAGAGTGCACAGCCACAGGCTGCTGGGGGAAGGGTGGGAGTGCTGAAGGGCGGGCGGGGACAGGGACCCGCCGAGGGCCCCGGGCCTGGGCCGGCACTCACCACGCAGAGGGGCGCACACGCTGCGCGGCAGCTCTGGGGCCGCGCTGCTGCCGCCCTCGGCCGCCTCGATGGCACCGCTCAGGTCGTGCGTCCACTTCTCCTTCTCCAGCCGAGTGCTGGGGGTGGGGGCACGAGGTCCAGTTTTGTGGGTCCAGGTGACACTGCTGGGGGCCCTGCCTGTACCCTCTGGGAGCTGCCTGGGGCAGGTGGTGGGAAGGCAACACCTTTGGGTGGATTGGGGCTCTCTACAGGGTAGCGTGTTCCCGAAACGCGGTTTCCACAGTCCCGGACGTGAGACTGGTTGTCCCTGGGTCGCTGCTAAGCTGCCAGGGCTTCCTGATGGGCGGCGGCCCCGCCCGAGAGGGACACTTGCTGGGGACACCTGGCTCCTCCAGGGGAGGGACCGCACGGCCGGTGCTGGTGCTGGTGACCCTGGTGCTGGTGACCGTGGTGCCGGTGAGCGAGCTCGGGCCTCCTCCCCTGGGGCTGATGGGGGAGCAGGGGAGGCAGCCGCTTGCTCCTGAGCCGGTCGGTCAGGCCGCGCAGCTGGGGGCCTGGATGCAGGGGAAGCGTCGGCCACCCGCTCACCGCTGGCACGACCTGGACTTGAGGGGCCACGCTTGTGCCCTTGGAGACCAGCCACCCCCGCAGGCCTGTTGCGGCTGCGCACTCTGAGCCGGAGAGGCAGGGAGGGGCAGGGAGCAGCAGGCGGTGCCACGGCCAGTCCCTGGTGGTCTCCCAGGCCAGGCGCCCCCGCGCCGCTCCGACAGCTGTGGAGTGGCACCCCCGCGTGAAAGGCCCCTCCTGGGCCCCCGGGCCCCGTGGGGTGCAGACAGGGCGGCTCTTACCTGGCTGCCACCACGACTGTCTTCTGAGCTGCGTGAATAGTGAAACAGTGCGGAACCGACCACTCGTGCTCGCTGTCCTCTACCTGCGGGCGGGAGGAGAGGCCGGAGGCTGGGCCGGGAGCAGGGCTGGCTCGCGCCGAGCTCGAAGCCCAGCACAGGTGACGTGAAAGTTCTGTGCTGTGCGGTCTACACTGGCTCTACGGGGCTACGGGAGGCCCGGGGTCCCCAAGCCGTGGCACCGGCCCCCCGAGCGGGTGAGCTGTGGGCCGCGGCGCCGCACTACTCACCGGCGGGTCCAGCACTATTAGCTGAAAATCAAGCACAGGAAAAAATGTTGAGCATTATCATTATTAAAAAGGGAGTTGGACAATTCATTTCATAAACTTGGTACCAAAACCTAACAATGTTAGACTCAAAGAAAAACTGATACAGTATAATCTGTTACAAACGATGAAGTAAAATAACCTCAAAATTAAACATTACCCAGTCGAACCTGAAAGAGTGGAAATTGTCCTGTGACCAAGTGAGGTGGTTCTAGGAAGGCAAGGGCGGTGAGACATTAGGAAGCCAATACGAGAAATAACCCTTCCACGAAGTCAAAGGAAAAACAACCATCGTTCCTCTGCCGAAAACAGCTTTGCTAACACCCAAAGTGTTACTTCTGATCATACCTCTTCCAGTCGGAAGGAAACTGTCAAACTAACATGACCACGTGGTCTTCCTCAAGCCAAGAGCCATCATCCTTCCCCAGGACCAGCCCGAGTGGACAGACCGCCCGCCCGAACGGGCAGCCCCCGTGTGCCAGTGGGACCCCAGCCACCGGCCCGACGCCGGGCAGGAGCTACCATGGGCAGCGGCCAGCAGAAGGCGGGCAAGGTGGGAAGTCTGTCCCTAAGTTGCTAAGTAATTTTACATTTAAGTGGCGCTTGGCATTGCTGTCAACAGACCATATATATGACAGGGGTCCCCTAAGACTGTGACGGAGCTGAAGAGTTCTGACCGCCCAGTGACCGCGCAGGCACGGCCCCCTAGCGCACGTGTCACCAGGAGTTCGCGGCGAGGCTGGCGTGCGCGCACCTGCCAGTGGCAGAAAGGCCCAGCAGGGCAGGTGCGCACAGTGCGCCTCAGTTGACAGTCACTCACTCTGTTACTGGCTTATGGGTTCACTGCGCCTTCTACCACTACGTCGGGTGCGCTCTTCCTGCCGTTAGCACCGGTTTCCCCGCAGCGGCGCTACGCTGGCAGCAGCCCCGGCGCCCACGCCCCTCGTGGGCACCGTTTTCCTGGGCTGGGTTTGCCCGCGGCCGCGCGGCAGGCTCCGTGCCACTCCGTGAACAGGGTGCACAAAGCCGCGGCCGCGTGGCGGCGCCCGCCAGGCCTTCGCCCTCACGCCCCACGCGCGACTCGCCCCGAGCACCTCCCGTCCCGCACGCCCGGCCACGCCCTGCTCTGATCTACCACTTCCTTATCTTTTCCTCCCACCTGTACCTTTTATACCGCGTGGGTGCAGTTCCTTTTCTGTGTTTAGATACGCGAACGGCATCGTGTTACAGTCGCCTGAGGGTTAGCAGAGGCGGGCAGCCCAGGGCCGTGCAGGGCTGCGCCCCTCGGCGTGTGCGGGCGCGCGATGTTCGCACGGCAAAAATCACAGGAGGACACCGTTCTCAGACATACATCCCTGTCGTTAAGTGGTACCTGAATGCAATATAATTTCAATACAAATCTCAATGGTGTTTTTTGAAGGAATTTGTCCAAATGATTCCAAAAAATTTATTGGAATTACTTGACAATAGCAAGAAACTTTTTAGAAGGAGGACAGATCGGGGGTGAAATTTACTCCCCGGAGAGTGACTGTGCCACACACCACAAAGGAGGAGAGAGCGGACCGAGGGGCGACAGACACCCCGGAGGCCCCGAAGGAGCCCCGGTGCCCAAACCAGGGCTGTTGACGTGCCTCCGAGGTCAGTGAGGAAACGGAGGGTCCAGTGAGCAACAGGAAAACCTGTCAGCACAGGGAGTAAACGGAGGCAGGGCGGGGGAGGGAGACGTGCCTCCTGGACTCAGCAGCCCCGAGTCCGACCCGATCAGATCGCTGGGCATCCGGACGCCACCGGCAAGGACAACACAGGAGCGGGGAGTCCTTGAGGCTCCTCTGTGCCGGGACAGGGAGCCTCTCTCACTGAGACGAAGAGCCTGCACTAGCTGAGAAAGAAAGGCTTTGCAGCCGCACACGAATCCCTAGGTTCAGAAGGGGGGGCACAGGGGGGACCTAGAAGCTGCCTGAGGTCTGTAACCGCTGAACCCCAAGGTCATGAGGCCACTGGTTCGTGACTTAGAACAAACTCACTGACCACTGTATTTCCTCCGCACGTGGGCGTTCGGAAGGGCCGGCGCCTGCTTGCAGCTTCGTGCTTGTATGCGTTTCATGGGTAAACTTGCTACTTCGTTCCCACCGCACGCCCTCGTCTCCTGCTTGAATTTGTCTCTCACGAGCGAGACAAGAACTGAGGCGTGAGCTCGGGAGGGGCCCCTGACTCGGGCCTTTCCCAGTTATAAACTTCCTACGGTAGGAAATGTTACATCCCAATATGATAACGTTCAAAGGGACATTTTAGGTAGATTAGTTGAGAAAAATGAAACCATAAATGTACTAGAAAATAAGGTGCCAACATAACCTCAGGAAGAACGTTCAGAGCCCACACCAAGGACAGACACACCCAAGGAAAAAGATGGGCAGATGCGACCGCAAAGACGTGTAAATTCACTCCCGCAGTGAGAACGTGCCGGATGCTCTTCCAGGAACCAGTCTGGGTGGACCGCAGTTCTACAGGGTAAAACCCGCGCAGGCAAAGGGAACGCCGCCACTGACTGCGGGCAGGGGGCGTCTTTGCGAGTGGCTCGCGAATGCGGGTGGCAGGACCGCGGAGAGCGGAGCGCGGACACATGGGAACCTCCCAGAGGGGCTGCCGAGGCCAGCACCCGGCCGGCCCCCCCGGCCACATCCCGGGACCCTCTCCACTCACCACCCTGGAGAAGGCGAAGGCCGAAGCCCCAGGGCCTCCTGGGCTGAGCAGCAGGCGCCGCCCCGGATGCGCGTGGTGGGACCGGCCGCCGGGCCGGTGCTCGCACAGCCGCGGAGCAGCCCCTTCACACCGTGGGCGTGGCACACAGCGCCCGAACAACGCATTTTGCCATTTGTCTCAGGAATGTGGTGAGGAGTGTGTGGAGAGGCACGCGATGGCACTATTGCTGATTCGGAAACACCAGATGCCGCTGGGGAGGGCAGCGCAGGGAGTCAGTCAGGTAAGCGGGCCACTCGCCTCGCTCCCCGCGGCAGGCGGAGGAGGCCCGGGACACGAGAGAACGCGCTGACGCCTTGCGGAGCAAAGCCCACGCAGGTCACAGGACAGCTTGTAAAGGTGACCCACGGCGCTGGCAAAAAGCATCGATCCCCACGTGGAGCCAGAAGGGCGCGTCACGAAGGCCAACAGCGCTCGTTTGTGGGTGGTAACATTGGCTCTCATTCTGGAGTCAGTTATTTTTTTCCATAACAGAAGTGTAAATTGTAAAAGTGTACTTGGAAACAGGGCACCTGTTTCCTGTGACGGCAGGTGAGCTCCTTCCAACTGGCCCTCCTTGCTGAGAGGAGCTGGGAGGGGCTCGAGGGCCGAAGGGCGTGGCGCCTCGAGGAAGCTGGCAGGCCACACAGAAAGAGCAGGGCACAGCCGGACCACCCACGGACGCCTGGGCAGGAGGCCCGGCGGGGGCCCCGGGGGGAGACGCCCGCCGCAGCCGGACCCGCTGGACCAGCGGCCTCCTGTCTTTACGGTTCCCAAACACGGGCTCCAGGCTGAGGGCAGACTCCCAGGGCGGGGCAGGGAGGGGGGCACGTGGACGTCTGGGGCAGGGCCCCTCCATGACCTTCACGCAGTGCCCTCCCCTGGCCACAGAAAGCAGTGGCCCCGAAGGAGGCGGCCAACAAGCCGGGCCACGTAAAAATGAAGAATTTCTGCCCATCAGAGACATTACGTCGTCAGGTGGGCGCTGTGGCGGTGGGGGACGGGGGCTCATCAGACAGGTGGGGTGGGCGGGGTGCTCCGGAGCAGCGGGGCCGCACACAGCCCCGGCCCGGCAGCCACACGGCGGAGACGGAGGTGAAAGGGCAACCCGGAGGTCGCACGAGAGACGCCCTGAGGGGCCCCGCACGGGACGCGAGGGAAGCAGCCGGGCGCCGGCTGGCGGGGGGCCGCCTGTGTTCAGGCCGCGGGGTGCGTGTGCGTGTGTGTGTGTGCGTGTGCGGAATAACTAACGACGCCGCGAAGGCCCAAAGTTGCCTGCCTCAGAGAAAAGGGACGCAAACCAAAGAAGTAAAAGCTCCACAGCTGTAAGACTTGGGGTGCGGTTTCCTCTTTCAAAACCTGTGCAGCCCCCTCCCCCCACAGCAGCCGAGGGGCCCCCGTGCCGCCCGGGCTCTTTCATTGTGTCTCCCACCAAAGGCCTCTGGGGCGGCAGGTGGACAAGGAGAGCTGGGGGCCGGCCCTGCAGGGGCTGGCGGTGACCCCAGGGCTGAGTCTGGGGGGCCGCAGGGGCCGTTCGAGCACTGAGAGCCATGAGGGCGACAGGTGGAAACCGACCAAACACCCAGCAGGTGCTTCCCAGGCGGACGCCGCCGGCCCGGCACTCACCAGCATGCCGCGCAGCGGGAGGAGGCCCCGGATCCGGAAGTGGCTGGTCCCCGAGAGGCCTCTGCTCGTGTACAGCAGCACATCTGAGAACTGAGCGGGCGGCTTTAGAGAAACGCATTGTAAAGGCAGCAGGGCTTCAGCGTCTCGGTTGTCAGACCAACTTCAACTCCAAGGGCCCTAAGGGGCTATCAGATCTGTTCAGCTTGCTAGAGATTTTTGGCAAAAAAGGGATCTTTATGTCATTCCTACAGTTGTTTTTGAGCAGAGGCGACTGGTAACCAAGAGCGGCAGTGGGCGTCTTGGGCTGTCCCCTCGCCCAGGAGACTGAGGCCCGGACCGGTGACTGGGTGTGAGGACGGCCTCGACGACAGGAGGGCTGGTGGCAGCAGGGACTCGCTGGGAGGCCTCAGCTCCCGGGGTCAAAGCTGGGGAGCCAGCGCCCTTGCGCGGCAGCTCGGCAGGAGCAGGCACCCCCGTGACCGCAGATACGTGGGGCTTTCTCCCTGCTGGCTTTGCCCGTCCCGCAGGCAGCTGCCCACGGCCCCGGATGCGGGGGGCAGCCAGCCTGGGGTGCGTTCTGTGACCCTCGCTTGGTCCTGCCTGCCCCTGAGGCTGCCCACCTGCCCCGGAGCGTTGGCACAGCCCCCTGGCATGGCTGCTGCCCCCCACCTACCAGAAAGAACATCCTCTGCTGCAGGCCCTTCCTGGTGAGCTTGTGCAGGCAGCCCTCCCGGATGAACTCCTGAAAGACAGCAACGAGGCCCCTTCGTGCCGGCCTGGCGCAACCTCCGCGGCCAGCGCGCGGCTTCTCTGCGCCCCTCGGTGAGCCCCTCACAAGCCCTGCCCAACCCTCCCATGGCGCCCAAACGCCCGGCGACCCTCCGCGCCGCCCCGCCTCCTCTCTCCTGCCCGCTCCCCTCGGTCCCCCAGCTCCTCCCTAGGGGCCCGTTGACTCAGTTCCCAAACTCGGCTGAGCACCTGCGGCCCTGTCTCACCGCAGGCAGCTGTGCTGACGACTGGCAAGTAAAGCAAAGGGTGCTGCTCTCACTGAGGAGAAGCTTCTGGAAGGTTCAGCCACAGACATGACATGAGTTCCACTTTGAGAAAAACGGGGGGGAGGAGCAGGGGCACACCTGGCTCCCCCGAGTGCTGACGTGGAGCCGTGTTCTTGGGGCCCTGCACGCGACGGCTCCCCAGCGCAGGAGGGAGGCCCCGCTGGGCCCGAGCGGCTGCGCCCGCCTGTGTGCCCGGCTGCCTGCTGTGGAAGGGGGAGGTGGGGCCCAAGCACGAAGCGGGTAGGGCGCTGCCGCTCCTCCCGGAGCCTGACTGCGCCTCCAGGACCCCAGGGACACCCTCGACCTTCCCTCCCGTGTGGGCGCACGTGGCCGAGGCCGCGAACAGAGGCCACCTGGGCCCCACACACCTGCCTCGGGGGGCACAGGCATCAAAGAGGCCCCAGCCCCCCGCGCTGACAGCGGCAGCCGAGCGCCCTGGCAGTGCTGTGGACACCCGGGGTGAGCCACGTGTGGGGGCCCTTCACTCTCTGCTGTTCCTTTCCGGCAAAAGGGAGCTTCACGCCCTGAGGACACATGTGCCAGGACCCAGCCTCAGTGGGTCTCAGAGGGACAGAGTGAAGCGCAAGGAGGAAATAACCCTCCCGTCAGCCCTGCCAGGGGAGGGAGGCGTCCTTGTCTGGCTCTCCCTCCCAACCCGCCCCAGCCCGGCCCTGGGGGCCCCCAACCAGCTCCGCTCCCAGGGCGACAGTCCCTTCCCGCGGCCGCCAACCCAGCCTGCCGGGCGCCCCGCCCCTGCGGAGCCAGCTGCAGCCCGGAGACCCAGGACGCCCCACGGCAGCCCCTCCCAGCGTCTCTGCCCCAGGGCTGTGCATCACAGAGCCACAGGCATCTCCCCGCTGAGCCCAGGCCCCCCCACCCCCTCCTTCCCCGTGGGACCTGCTTCTCAGTTTGCCCCCTGGATACCGGACACTTCTTATCTTTGTAGCTGGTTATGCGCTTTCTACCTGGGTAACAACCTCTGCGGAAGTGCTAGTGTGGGTTCTGTCTCTGAGCGGTGCCCACAGTTAACTCAGGAGACCAGGAACCCTGGGTCGCAACATCAGGACTAGAGAGATCTGACTAACAACAGCCATCAGGGCAGCAGCACAGCACCTACTGCATGCAAGGCCCTGGCTGAGCAGCTGACGTCCTTCCCCCCGTCCGCCCCCAGGACCCTCCATGGCCGAGAGGTGGGGCCCAGGCCACGCGGCTGTGGACCTGGACAGCCCGAGTCCCAGCCTTGGCTCCTGAGGCCACCGACCCCTGCTCTGCACAGTACTCTCGTTTACTGGTCCCTTCAGCGACGGTTTCCCGGGGCTGCCGTCTCTCAGACACTGGGGCACCAGGAGACTGACCACGTGTAACAAGTGCCCTGCGCGCCTCCGAGCCCCCAGCCTGCAGCACCGCCCCTCGGAGGCCCCGGAACCGGGCGGGGGCTGCCCTGGCCCTCCTGCGTATTTTAGTCCTAGTTTGTTTCTTTGGGTGTGTGGTCCCGCGTTCTCAGCACCTCCTTCTCATGAGGCTAATGCAGAGCGTGATTTACACAGCCACCCTCCAGTACACGCATGTTTGTGTTGAGACAGAAAGCGTCCCCGTGTGATGAATGAAACACTTCTTATGCCGACAGTGCTGAGATCAAAGCGAAAGTGCTCGTGACCGGAGGTCGGCCGCCCGGGAGACACAGGACACGGGGTGAGCGGGGCTTCGGCAATAACCCGAATGTTGCCGGGACAACTGGACATCCACAGGGAAAAGAATGAAGCTGGGTGTGCCTCACACCACACACAAAATGAACTCAAGATGGATCTAATGTAAATGTAAAAGCTAAAACAAAGATTCTTTTAGAAGAAAACAGGGGTAAACCTTCATGCCTTGGATTAGGCAATGATTTCTTAGCTATGATCAGTAAAAAAAAGAAAAGAAAAGAAAAGAAAGACAAAGAGAGAGAGATAAATTGGGCTTCTTCAAAATTAACAACTTTCGTGTTGTAAGTGATACCATCACGAAAGTGAAAAGACAGCCCACAAAACGGGAGAACGTATTTGGAAATCATATTCTCCTAAGGGCCTGGTGTCCACAGTGGATAAAGAACGTCCCAACTCAAAGGAAGAAGACAAACAACCCAATTGAAACGTAAGCAAAGGGTCTGAGCGGGACTTTCTCCACGGGAGGCCTACGTACGGCCAAGAACACGCAGAGGCAAAGGCCTGGCGACAGCCTTCGGAGAGACGCAGCCACAGCCACGACGAGACGCCCCACGCACTGTCCGATGGCTGGAACCGAAGAGACAAAATGCGGAGGAACCGGGGCGCTGACAACGGCCGCTGGGCACAAAGAGCGGCGCCGTCGCTGAGGGAAATGCGGGCGGCGCCTCAGAAACGGTGAGCGGAGGCCTGCCCGGAACCCAGCCATTCCACTCCCGCACCCAGGAGCACCGGACACACTGGTCCCCACAGGACGTGTACCCAAGTGTCCGCAGCAGCACTAGTCACAGTGGCCAGCAAGGGACGGCCACCTGATGTCCATCAGCAGAGGAAAGACGCACAGAATGTGGGGTGCCCAGAGAACGGGGGGCTATCCTTCCACAGAAGGAATGAAGCGCTGACGCGCTGCAACGTGGGCGAGTCCCAACACCATGATGCTGAGTGACAGCCCAGCCAAGGCCGCGCCCTGGGAGGCTCCGCTTCTGAGAAGTGTCCACCGAGGGTGAGACCGGCAGACAGGAAGCAGGTCAGCAGCTGCCGGGGACGGGGGCGGGGGCTGGCAGCGACCACTACCACGCCTGGGGTTCTTTCTCGTGGGATGAAAGGTTCTGGAACTAGATGGTTGTACAGCCTTGTAAATATATTAACCACCGAGTTGCACACTTTGAAACGGAGAGTTCTGTGGCACGTGGGTTGTATCTCAGCCAAAACAACGAAGTGACCAGGTCAAAGCCCTTCCCCAGCCACTCACCCTGCCGGGGGCGACGAGGTCCTCCACGCCGACCAAGTCCCGCTGCAGCTCCGTCAGCTTCTGCAGGTTCTCCAGCCGGACGAGGCTGCGCTGGAGCGTGCCGGTCACCTCCGTGATGACCTCCAGGGCGTCTGTGAGAAGAGACCCTCAGCAGAGGCGGCCGGGCCAGAGGCAGCACAGACCTCTCCCCAGCACCCCGACTTTGTGACCGAAACTGGCATTTTAAAAGTCGGTTTTAATTCAAGGAACATTCTACTCAAACTCCACCCGTGGTTTCTGACTGTTAGGCACACCAAGTGCGGCTTCTGGCAGATGAACCCGACCTTGCATTTGTTCAGTCCAAACTACTGACTATCCAGCCCTTGGGTGTGGGAAAGAGAAAGAACAATCTATATAAATAACTAAATTTACAGGCAAAGCGGTTCTTGTTCTTCAGGGAAAATCGTTCACTATAGTTTAAAGTCTAAATAATTTCTACCTTCAAAGCATTTGTGATTTTCTCCTTGAGTGGAGGAGCAGAGGCCCATCTTCAGGGTCAAGCTGAGAGGGGCCCCCACTTCAGGACAAGGCTGAGAGGGGGCAGCGTGTAAATGTGCTGCACGTTTATTTCCCTGAAAATGCCTGGATGAGTATTTTGACAATTCTTTATAGCAAACACAAAACACTTGCTTTTAGAATGAAGAAGGGAGTTGTCAACATCATCCGATCCTTTTTGTTTCTCGTATATCAGAAAGTATCTTATTTATACCCATTTATGACTATGGGAGACGAGCTAGAAGGAAGTGCAAGTCTTTCATCTTTTAGGGTTTTTTGTTGGTTTGTTTGGTTTTTTGTAAATAACGTGGGATGCTTCTGCATGTCTTCCTTGTGCAGGGCCATGCTAACCTTCTCTGTATTGTTCCCACTGTCGGGTATGTGCTGTTGAAGTGAGCACTTATTTTTTACTTTTAATGATGATGGTGAATTCACTTGTAAAACCTTTCAGATAGACAGATTTCTTGTGCTAAATTTATCCTACAACTAGAAGTCATATTGTAAGTTAAGAAAGTCAGGGTTAAAAAAAAAGGGTCAGGGTTTGTTCCTTTGTTCCTTTGTTCCTTTAACACAAAAAATCACAAACTCCGTTTATGTCAGAAACTTCTAACTGCCCACCCTGGACCAAACATTTGAGCTTTGGAGCCACGGCTTCCAGGACAGAAATGCCTACAGGTAGTAGGTCATTCCAACCCCCAGTGCACTTGTCGGGGCTCTGCCTTGGTCACAGTGTCCACTCCCTGTGACCCCTCCAGGACAAGCAGAGTCCTTCACTACGCTCTTCAGATTTGGAGCAGAGCAGGGCCTTGCCCAGGGGCGGGCGCTGACGGACAGACCCTGCTCAGACCCAGGGCCTGCTTGTGTCCATCAGCCGGAGGGAAGCGGGGGGGCCCTGGCCAGCTCTGACCACTGCACACGTGGCCCTTCTGTGGGGAACCCACACACCTTGCCTTCAGGGTTACCAGAGACGCTCCTACCTCACCGCCCTGCTGGCCCCACTCACCGCGGCAGTCGGCGTAGTCGCGGTGCCCGGGTGCGTAGTACCCACACAGCCGTCCCAGCAGCAGGCGGTAGTGCACCAGGCGCTGGATGGGCTTCAGCAGGAACGTGTTCAGAGGCAAGTAGCAGACTTTCTGGAGCTCAAACTCTTTGTACACTGTCTCCAGCTTCTTACAGTGTTTGGTTGCCTTTTCCAGTTCTGTCAGGACCTCATCATGCCTTTGGAAGTAGCCGGTAAACTGCTGTTGAGGCACAAAAGTGGGCCATTTAGATTAGGAGACCTGGGAGCAGGGGTCCAGTGGGTGAGCAGCCTGCCTGGCATTCCCCGTGTGGACGTCACACACTAGCCGGAAATCCCGGGTGACTTTCCAGCCTCAGTGGAGTTCGTCCTGCCCCACCTGAGGCTGCACACAGGGTTTGCCCACACCCATCACTACCACATTCACCAGTGAGTGGACAAAGGGCTTTCCCTCCACTTGATTTTTTAAAATTATTTTTTTATTTTTAGAGAGAGTGTTAGGGAGGGACAAAGAGAGGGAGGGCTTAATGTGAGAGAGAAACATCAATTGGTTGCCTCTTACTTGCACCCCAACATGGATACAAAACCTGCAACCCAGGCCTGTGCTCTGACTGGGAATCAAACTGGTGACCTTTCTGTTGGTGGGACGACACTGAGCTACATGCCAGGGCTTTCCCTCCACTTTACACGAAGACCTGAGGCCAAGAGGGCTGTACATGCCTCCTGTAGCCCAGAAAGTGAGCTCGGGGCAGGGAGCAAACATGCCCTGCCCCAGCTCTGCCTCAGACCTCAGACACGCTGCTCTACCTACACTCCAGAGTGCAGCAAAGCGGGTGTCGACCCAGTTTTCAGAGAGGGAATAATTACTCCTGACATTTTCGCAGCACAAATCCAAGTGTGCACATGTACGGATTTGGAGTGTTTCACAGTCACATTAAACTCAACTAGTCCTTACTGTCTAGAAGGTTTCTAACATTAAATGTTACAGATAACTTATGTGGTATAATCTGCTCAAACAGATTTACATATATCTTGATTTTAAATTTGTATAAGTACTTTTGGGATAGGTAAAACTTAATAACGAGCCACCTAGCTCAAAAAACCAAGTGTCAGGGTTAAAAATGGGGCTCTGAGCAGAATGGAGCTCTTAGGCAGGGTGATCTGAAGAGAAGCAAGCAACCCTGCAGGTCCCTCAGGTTTCTTGGCACGGACTGGGGCCTGGTGGGTGTCAGGATCTCGCAGGGTTGGGCCGAAGGTGGGAAGGGCCTGAGGTGGAGGTGGCAGCTGGCCTGGCGAGTGGGCACAACAGCAAGGGCGTGGGAATGTGGAGTGATGCAAGCAGCTGGGAGACGGAGGCAGAACTCGAGTCTCGGGACTGGATGCCAGAGCTTCCAGGACTGATGTGGGAACAGGGAAGGCCTATTCCAGGCCTGTTTAGCAAGAGGAGCACACTTGGGCAGTGAAAGCACCACCCACTGGTTCCAACACCTGTGATAACCTGTCCTGACGAGAAGACACTTTGCTTCCCCCACGGGACTGACCTGGGCTACCTAAAGTCACTCTTTTTGCACTTTCCTTGGCACATCTTCATGAAACTAGTGCCTCTGAGGAAAAACCCTGACAACAACAGCCTTGAAAGGCTCTGGGCAGCAGCTCCAGGCTGGCAAGCTCAGCAGGAACAGCAGCCACTGACCAGGGGCCAGCTGGGGGCCCGGGTCCCTGCGTGAATCACAGCTGGGCTTCAGGAGAGCCAGCCACAGCACACTCTTCCCCTCTGAGGCGGCCCTGAGGGTTACAGCTTCCTGAGGAGAAATATGCTCCGAGGGGTACACCGTCTGGAGGAGAAGGTTGTTGTGAGGAGAATGCTGCTCTTCTGAGGCGAAGGCCATCCGGAGGGGCTGCTGCTCTGAGGGAACAACTTCCTGAGGGTGATGCTCTCCTGACAAAAATGCTGTCATAAGGAGAACACTGTCTTGAAGGCAATGCTGTCTTGATGAAAAGAATTCTCTAAGGGGAATGCTGCTCTGAAGGGGCACTGCCCTGATATGTCACAGTCCTGATGAACATGGTACTTTGAACACTATTCTGAGAGAAAGGAGTTTCTGAGGAGGACACTGTACTACGGTGAACACTGCTCTGAGAGTGGAGCCATCCTGGGTGGACTGATGTCATGAAGGAACACTGTTCTGAGGGGAGCATGACTGTCCTGAGGCGGTTGCTATCTGAGGAAACAGCTGCCCTGAGGGTAACACTGTGCTGAAGGAAATGCTGTCCTGAAGGCAACATTGACCTAAGGGAAACACTGTCCTGAGGGAAATGCTGTCAGGGGAACGCTGTCCTGAAGGAAATGTTTTCTTGAGAGAACACTGTCCTGAGGGAAATGTGAGGTACATTGTCCTGAGGGTGACGTTGTCCTGAGGTAAATGTCTGACAGAAATGCTGTCCTGATGAGGACACTGTCCTGAAGGAAATGATTTCCTGAAGGGAACACTATCCTGAGAAATTGATCCTGAGGGGTACTCTGTCCTGAGGGAAATGCTGCTCTGAGGGGGATGCTGTCCTGAGAGAAATGCTGTCTTGAGGGAACTGCTGTTCTTTGGGGGAACACTGTCCTGAGGTGGTTGTTTTCTGAGGAAAAAGAAAAAGCTGCCCTGAGGGGAACACTGTCCTGAGGGAATTGCTGTCCTGTGGGGAACACTGTGCTGAAGGAAATGCTGTCCTAAAGGCGATGTTGACCTAAGGGAAACGCTGTCCTGAGGTAAAGGTAAATGCTGTCTGTAGGAAATGCTGTCCTGAGGGGAATGCTGTCCTGAAAGAAATGTGTTCCTGAGGGGAACACTGTCCTGAGGGAAATATCATCTTGAGGGGGAACACTGTCCAATGGGCTATGCTGTCCTGAGGGAAAATGTTTTGTGGGGAAAACTGTCCTGAGGGTGACGTTGTTCTGAGGGAAATGCTGTCTGAGGGGACCCTGCTCTGACAAATGTTTTGCTGAGGGAAATGCTGCCCTGATAGAAATGTCCTGACTAGGCCCTGTACTGAGGGAGATGGTGTCCTGAGGGGAACATTGTCCTGAGGTAAATGCTGCCTGAGGAAATGCTGTCCTGAGGGTGACACTATCCTGAGGGAAATGTTTTTCTGAGGGGAACAATGCCTGAGGGAAATGCTGTCTTGCAGAGAACACCGTCCGGAGGGTGACATGGTCTTGAGGGAAATGTCCTGAGGGGCACACTATACTGAAGGAAATGTTTTCCTGAAGGGAACACTGTCCTGAGGGAAATGCTGTCATGAGCAAAACGCTGTCATGAATTAACAGCTGTCCTGACAGGAACACTGTCATAGAAAGATGCTGTCCTGAGGGGAAACTGTCCTGAGGAGACGCTGTCCTGAGGGAAATGATGTCCTGATGGGAACACTGTCTTGAGGGAAATGTTCTCCTGTGTGGAACACTGTCCCGAAGGAAATGTTTTCCTGAGGGGAACACTCTCCTGACAGAAATGCTGTCCTGAGGGCAACCTTGTCTGGAGAGGGACGGTCTCCTAAGGAGAAACTGTCTTGAGAAAGATGCTGTCCTGAGGTAAATGCTGCCTGAAGGAAATGCTGTCCTGAGGGGGGGACACTGTCCTGAAGGAAATGTTTTCTTTAGGGGAACTCTGTCCTAAGGAAATGCCATTTTGTGTGGAACACTGTCCTGAGGGAAAAATCTGTCCTGAGGGTAACAATGTCCTGAGGGAAATGCTATCCTGAGGGGAGCACTGTGCTGAAGGAAATGCTGTTCTGAGGGTGACACTATCTTAAGGAAAATGCTCTCCTGAGGTAAATGCTGTCTGAGAGAAATGCTGTCCAGAGGGAAACACTGTCATGAGGGAGACGCTGTCTGAAGGAAATGCTGTCCTTAGGGGAACACTGTTCTGAGGGCAACGTTGTCCTGAGGGAAACGCTGTCCTGAGGGGAACAATGTCCTGTCCTGATGGTGAGTCTGTCTGAGGGTAATGCTGTCCTGAAGTAAATGCTCTCCTGAGAGGGACGCTGTCCTGAAGGAAATGTTTTCTGAAGGGTACACTGTCCTGAGGGAAACGCTTTCCTGAGGGGAACAATGTCCTGAAGGAAATGCTGTCTTAAAGGGAACACTGTCCTGAGGGAAACACTGCCATGAGGGGGATGCTGTCCTCAGGGAAACACTGTCCTGAGGAGACTGTCTTGAGGGAGATGCTGTCTTGTGGGGAACACTGTCCTGATGGCAATGCTGCCCTGACCAGAAAGCTGTCGTGAGGGAAATGCTGATCTGAGGGGTACAGTATCTTGAGGGAGACGCTGTCCTGAAGAGAAACTGTCTTGAGGGAGACATTGTCCAGAGTGGGACCCTGTCCTGAAGGAAATGTTTTCCTGAGGGGAACACTGTCCTAAGGGCAACTCTGTCTAAGGGAAACGCTGTCCTGAGGGAAATGCTGATACGAGGGAGATACTGTCCTGAAGGAATGCTGTCCTCAGGGGAAAGCTGCCCTGAGGGAGATGCTATTCTGAGGGAAATACCGATGGGAGGGAAACACTGTCCTGAGGTAAAAGCTGTCCTGAAGACAAAGTGTACTGAGAGAGACACTGTCCTGAGGGAGATACTATCATGAAGGAAATGTTTTCCTGAGGGGAATGCTGTCCTGAGGAAAATCCTGTCCTGAGGGGAACAGTGTTCTGAAGGAAATGCTGTCCTGAGGGGAATACTGTCCTAAAGCGGTTGGCTTTCTGAGGAAAAAGCTGTCCTGAGCATAACACTGTCCTGAGGTAAATGCTATCTGTAAGAAATGCTATCCTGAGGGGGATACTGTCCTGAAGGAAATGTTTTCCAGACGGAAATACTCTCCTGAGGGAAATGCTGTGTTGTGGGGAGCAGTCCTGAGGGTGAATGAGGGAAATGGTGTCCTTAGGGGAACACTGTCCTGATGGGGAGTCTCTTTGAGGGTAATGCTGTCCTGAAGTAAATGCTCTTCTGAGAGGAACCCTGCCCTCAAGGGAAACATTGTCCTGAGGTAAATGCTGTCCTGAGGGGAACACTGTCCTGAGGGAGACACTGTCCTGACTGTAGAGCTGTCGTCAGGGAAATGCTGATCTGAGGGGAACAATGTCCTGAAGGAAATGTTATCCTAAAGAAAACACTGTTCTGAGGGGATCGCTGTCTTGAGGGGGACTCCGCCCTGAGGGGAACAATGTACTGAAAGAAGTGCTGTCCTGAGGGGAACACTTTCCTGAGGGAGGTGCTATCTAGATTGAAACACTTTCATGAGGTAAAAGCTGTCTTGAGGGGAACACTGTCCTGAGGAGACTGTCTTGAGATGCTGTCTTTAGGTAGATGCTGTCTTTAGGTAAATGCTGTCCTGAGTGGGTCCCTGTCCTGAAGAAAATGTTTTCCTTATGGGAACACTGTCCTGAGGAAAATGCTGTCTTGTGGGGAACATTGCCCTGAGGACAATGCTTTCTAAGGAAAATACTGTCCTGAAGGAAATGCTGTTTGTAGGAAATGTTGTTATGAGGGGGATACTGTCCTGAAGGAAATGCTGTCTTGAGAGGAACACTGTCCTGAGGGAAATGCTGTTCTGAATGAAACACTGTCCTAAGGGGAACCCTACCCTAAGTGGGATGCTATCCTGAGGGAAATAGTGTCCAGAAGGAAACACTCTCCTGAGGGAGATGCTGTTCTGAGGAAAACATTGTCCTGTGGGAAATTCTGTTTTGTGGGGGACACTGTCCTGAGGGAAATGGTGTCCTGAGGAGGATACTGTCCCGAGGGAAATGCTGTCCTGAGGGGAAACTGTCCTGAGGTTAATGCTTTCCTGAGATAATGCTGTCACGAAGGGAAACTGTCCAGGGGGTACAGCATGTACACTGTCCTGAGGAATTGCTGCCCTGAAGGGAACACTGCCTTGAGGGAAATGCTCTCCTGAGTGGAACGCTGTCCTGAAGGAAATGTTTTCCTATGGGAAATACTGTCCTGAAAGAAATGGTGTCCTGAGGGGAACAATGTTCTAAGGGGGACGCTGTCTTCAGGGAAATGCTGTTCTGAGAGGGACACGTTCATGAGTGTGATGCTGTCCTGTGGGAAACACTCTCCTGAGGGGGACACTGTCTGAGTGGAACACTGTTTTGGAGCAAATGCTGTCCTGAGGGGTATACTGGTATTGCGCAGTCAGTTGCTGGGTCTACAGTTACCATATAAACACGTGCTACCTTTAACTGATGCATATTCCTGAGCAGGATGTCTCCAATTCTCTGATTATTGCCAGTGCCGATGGCAGTGGAAGGTCCTTCCCTGGAGTAGAGATGGATAAATATGATCAAAACTGGAGAAAGCTAAGGAGACTAACTGTGATGATCTAGGGTAACCAACTGTCGCAGTCACAGCCAGAACAGCAATGAGAGGCTTTGTGGCGGGAGGCCTGCACTTGACAGAAACCATCATTATGTGTTGGTCATTCTCTACAAGATAGTCATTGGGGAAAAACAGAATCATATACTTTTAACTCGTTTCATTCTTCTGAATACGATGAATAAAAGTGATTGTTGTATGTCTACTCCTCCCCACAAGTTTTAAAAATATACCTCAGTGAAATAACAGTTTTTGTGAATTAAGTTTCTGAGGGTGGGAAGTTCCTGAAAGCAGTGGTGGCAAAGGGGGAGGGGCTGCCATGGGCTGATGCATGGGCAGGTGTTACCAGAGTGCCAGCCGCTGCTCCACCTCTCGCAGGAAGCCTCTGTGGAACTCATAGATGGGGTCTATGTTGGAGAAGAGCAGGGTCATCAGGTCTGCAGGCATGGCATCCTCCTTGACTACTGCGCTGCGGAACCACTGCAGGAAGAGCTCGGTGTGACTAAGGGATCTCACCCCTGAGGGTCTGTGGCCACAGTACACCCAGCCCTGACCCTTGAGTCCCCATGAGGAGAGCTCACATCAGTGCTATGCTTGTCCTCTTGACTGGCCACCAAGTTTTTACAATATAAGAGAATAATTCTGGATGAAAAGCTTGAAATGGATACATTCCCAGTTTTACCTAATATCCTGATCTGACTTAGATATTCTTTAAGGCAAATATGTTTCACCAAACAAAATACATGTAGATCTTGTGATGACTGAGAGCTCTTAGGAGGGCTCTTCTGTCTTTGGTTTAGAGTTAAGAAGTGTTAAGAAAATCAAAGTAATAAAGTACTTAGTTTTCATACCACGGTAATAACTTCTAAATCCTTCAGGTATGTTCGTTCCGTAGCGAGAATCTCCTTTGCTATGAAATAGGCCTCATCCGCTCCTGGGCACTGCAAGAAGCACAGATAGTGAGCACGTGTCTGTCGGCCATGTCACTGATGTTCATAACACACACTTTCTTCTGCTCGTTAACATTGTCACGTGGTTTTCATCCACAATTCCTGAAAAGATTTCCTTCCGAGTAAAAACATAAGTCCAGTTGTAACTCCTTCATGTGTTTTTGTCGTTTTATGTTGTTTGAAAAAAGAATTGCTGTTCAAACATAAACGTATATTATTACTGGTTTTGTGATGAAACGATTGTCCAGCCATCACTGCCAAGACTGTAGCTGGTTAACACACAGACACTTGAGTGTATATATGCACACATGCAGTTGTAAACGATTACGCCTAACTCACAAAAAGTCATTAAAACTGTCAAACAGTGTACAATCTAGCTGTGCCCTTTGTTAGAGCCCTGGGTGGCTGACACACTTAGAGGCAGATATGGCCCAGCTCTGGAGCTCTTAAATCCTCATCAGGGCCTCTGCCAGATGTGCAGATGCCAGCAGGCAAGTCAGTGAAGGTGCGACCCTCAGGAGCAGCAAGGCCTCCGCTGAGCCCCTAGGCCCCCCACACCCAGCACCCAGCTCTCAGTGTTCTTGCTTGGCGGCCCCTTCTCCATCCTTCCCCAGCTGGAAGACAGCGGCCCTGCTCTGTCCCCATGTGTTGGCGTGGCTGCCGCTCCATCAGGCTGAGGACTTCAGAGGTTGACTGTCCCCATGTCTGCCACGCAAACACCTGAGATGCATGTGCCAGAGGCACATGGGATAGGCCCAGGAACGTAGGTCCCTGTCCTGGAGCTGATGGCAAGAGGCATGGCACAGGCTAATGGGGACGCCACCCAGCACAGCAGGGAACCGCTCTGGACACAAGGCAGAGCAGGATGGGGTGGGGCCGCCGCAGCCTCTAGAGCAGGGCTGCCCCACATTTTGGCCTCTCTGGGCTGCACTGGAAGAAGAGCTGTCTTGGTCCACACATGAAAAATGTTGCAACACATAATCACACAATAGTCTGATGACGTTTGAATTTATGATTTTGTGCTGTGCAGCAGTGACAGCCACCCTGGGCTGCATGCGGCCCGCGGGCCGCAAGTGGGACATCCCTGCACTGGAGAGCAGACATGCTGCCTGTGGAGAGGCTGGCGCTGGAGGCGCCGTAATGGGAGATGGGTCAAAGGTCAAGGACAAGGTGGGTACAAAGTGGGCAAGCTGGTTACTGGCAGGAACACAGGTCTTGGGGTGGTGCAAGCTGGGAGGGCCCAGCTCCTCAGGAGGCCTCCTTCTGCCCGGGCTTGGCAACAGGGGAAGAAGTGGCAGGACGGGGAGAGGGGGCCCTGGGAACTCTCAGGGTCAAGTTCTGGTATGGGTGGAGGCTCGAGGGAGCAACGAGGCAAGGAGGACTGCGGCTTTGGGCCCAAGCCAAGGGAAAGAGCTGCTGAGCCCAGGGAGGGGTGTGTGTGGGGGAGGAGTAGGGGTCTGGTTGGCGCGTGGGGAGTCGATGTGCTTTAGCTTAGACGCCAGGGAGAAGCAAGTTGGCGTGGGGGTCTGCCGCTAAGAAGGGGAGGCTGCGCCTGAGGCTGACACTGGGGGGCCCACATTTTCTTCCCTGTGACCCCTCCCCTAGATGAAATGCAGGAGAGGCGACCACAAAGGCAAGGTCTTCTCGGGCACGGCCCTCTCGGCCCCCAGGGACAGCCCCTGTGCCCAGCGCCCTTCAGAGCCCACGTCCTGCCGTCTTCCCACATCGGCTCTTCCCCAGTGATTGGCTCAGTGGGAGCTGCCGCGTGAGCCTGCTCTGCGGCCGCGGGTGCTCTGTCCTGGCAGCCGCTCCCCCGAGTCCCGAGGCCTGGTCCCCAGGGCTCTGGCTCTCTTCTCCACAGAGCAACACGGTCACCTTTTCATTTTTTCTTTTTTTTGGCTTCATGCCATTTAAAAAATTGCCTTTTTTCAAATTCAAATTGAGTAAGACCTCTTTAAGGTGCTGTATCTCCACCTGAATGTGACGTGCCCAGTGAGCTCTGTGGGTTCAGAGCTGCCCTGAGAGGCCCACGTTCACAGTCCAGGAGGCTGGGCCTCTTGTGGCCAGACCGCCTGGACGCCCAAGCCTGTAATGGCTGGCCTGGGGCTCCCTGACCGCCGCACTTGGCCCGGGGTCCTGCTCTAACCCCGCGTACCAGCCAAGGAAACAGGTCACGGGAGGTTCCAGACCAGGCCCTCCCCTGCGGGGGGAGGCGTTCGAAAACCAGCACATCACTGATGGGGTCACGGCAGCCTTGAAGGCGCCACCAGGTGGCGATGCCAGGAGTGGACAGCCTGTCTGTGGGCCTGGGCTGGCTCGTTTCCGGCACAAAGAAAACTCAGAGGAAACTCTCAGTGGAGAGAAGGCAAAGTGGCCCACCCACACCTCTGCCTCGGCCAGGCTGGATGGCCAAAGGGGATGCCGGGAGGGGACCGTGCTTTCTGCCGACACCTGCCACCTGTCTCTGAAGAGAGCAGCCGAGAGCCCGAGTATGGTGCCCTGGCTGGTTCCCTCAGCCTCACACCTGCACCTGGAAGAAACACTGGCCACCTTCAGCTTCCGTACGTTTCAAATGTTTTTGGTCCTCACCAACTTCTATTAGAAAGGAGGAGAAACAGTGCAGTGAGTGAGAGATGCCGGCAACGAGGGGGTTCTGGGAACCAGCCTCAGGCATGTTCCCGAGGGGCAGGCGCCTGGGGGCGGGGTCGCGGCCCCACCTCTCCACACAGATGAACAGCCAGACACACATGCCCCGGGCACACCCAGGGGCTGAGGAACGCAGGGGCTGCCCAGGGGCTGTGGGAGTGGGGGGGGGGCATCAGAAGATCTCGGGGGCTGGGGCTTTGCTGGGGACGCTGATTCACCAAGGCAGCGCAGAGCACAGCGGGCCCTTTGCCTGCATGCGCACACGTGCTCAGCGCCGGCCCCTGGGCTGGCCCAGGGGGCAGAGGTGCAGGAAGTGCCGCCCCGGCAGCCCACCATGCTCCACCCCGGCTGTTACACGTAGCCGGGCACACGTGGCACCGCAGCCCCGCAGGGCGGGACATCAGGGGGCCCGGGCGGGGCCCCGCTCTGGGAGGTGCGGGCACTGTGACGACCAGGTCTGGATAACGAAGGCCACGGCCACCCGCCATCAGCCCAGTTAACCCTCAGGGGTCAGGCATCCCCACGGAACCACCTGAAGGTCAACGACCGTGCTCACACAGAAAGTAACACAGTAAAATTCCATGTTTTAAACAGTTTTCCTCCAAGCCCTTTTAGTCACGGCACGGAAGCAGCGTGGCTGAGATGGAGGAGGCCGCCGTCCGCAGGGCCCTGACCACCAGGGTAGCCCTCGGCGGGAGGCCAGCCGGCACCCACCCTCAACCACGGCGGGCCTTCCCTCTGGGGCTGCCGTCCCGGAAGCGGGCCCAGGGGACCCGGCACAAGGACAGGAGTCTGCCCGAGGCTGCCCGTCCTGGGAGGGTGCGGCTGCTGAGGGACCCCACGGGTCGGGCCCAGGCGGCCCTGGCCCAGCATGCTCTCTGGCCAGCTCAGGAGGAAACACACGGGGTGCTAAGGTGGCCGTGGCGACAGCTGCCGGCAGGACAGACGGCTGCGCGGCGGGGGCCCCCGCCTGGGCCCGGCCCAGCTTCCTGCAGGTTTGTGTCCCAGGGGCCTCTGTGCTGTGCAGGGGACAGACAGGTGGCTCCTGGCTTTCCCCTCTCCGTGGCCCCCAGGGCCCACTCAGTCCACAGCTCTTTAGTTCAACCACTGTCTTCCCCAAACGTCCAATTCCCCGACTCTCTGTCCCTCGTCATGTGCCCCCTCCCACACCTCCTCGCCCTGCCCGCCTCGACCACGGCACAGCCCGGCCGGAGGCCAGAGCCACGGGGCCGCCGCCTCTGGCCATGGCCTTGTCCTCGGGCTCGCGCTCGGCCCGGCCCCGCAGCCCGTGCCCCGCTCTCACCCCTGACTGCAGACAGAACCTGCCAGGGGTCACCTCCACCTTCCACCCTGAACCCACCCCCGTGCACCCCTCCCCTGGCAACAACACTCCAGGGCACCCCTCCGGCACCCGCTCGGCCATCAGCCCCCGAGCCTCCCCTGGCCCCAGACCAGACGGGTCCCCAGCAAACCCTCCCTGCGCGCCACACTCTTCGCAGTTACTGGGGTGGGGGCTCCCCCAGGGCCTGCCCACTCCCGCCAGGTCCCCAGGACCCGGCCCCGCACTTGGGGCGCACTGGCCAGGCTCCCCTTCAGAGGTCCCGGAGTCCCTGAAAGCGACAGGAGGGTTTCAGGAGTGATTTCTCTAGGGAGGCCAGCCCACTGCGTCCTTCTGCCCGCAGGCCCTGGGCAGGCGGGCGTGTGTGTGCCCAGAGCCCCCGCCCCGCCCCACCCCCGGCTTCCCGGCCCAAAAAGGAGTCTACAAACCCAGGCCCACCAGCGTCACGCCTGCTGCTCGGGGCAGTGCCCACCTTGCGTTCCGGCTCCTCATCGTCCATCCTGGTTCCGCCAGCGTCGCTAAGGCCGGGGCTCAGGAGCGGGAAGGAGCCCTGCCCAGTGGGGCCCAGAGTCACCTGAAACGTGGGGCTCAGGCTCAGTGGGCTCTTCGGGGTGGAGGGCGGAGGCTGAGGGCTGTCCACGGCAAGGCCTGGAATTGAACGGGGTGGGGGACGGGGCGAGACATGAGAAAGGGCCGGGATGCAGGCTGGACACCACGCTTCTTACCAGGCCCTAGCTGGCACCAGCCTTAGGCCGGCACTGCCGCCAGGCACTTTCTGGAGAGTGTAAATAAGCCGCTACCACATGCAATTCTCAAGGCGACAATTCTCTTCCACAGACACCAACCGCAGGCATCTGGGCCCCCGGGGCTCTGTGGTCCAAGGGGTTTCTCTTTGCTCTGGAGAGGATGTGGCTGATAACATCAGCTGCCTCAGAGGCGGGAGAGAGCGGGGAGGGGCACCCCTGTGTGTGCGCTGGAGACTATCAAACCCATGCTAACAAGTCTGGAAAAGATGTTTATTGTTATGCCAAACTTGGGAATCATTGATTAAAAAACCGGATCACATAAAATTACAACTAACTATATACTGTTTTCTACTTCCTTGAATTTTTCATTAATGAAGACTTGTTTTTCTAGAATTATACCACAAAAGTAATTCTTATTTTTTTCCCCCTTCTTAAAATAATGTTTGCTTTTGACTAGTCAGAAGCCAAAATTCTGGCCTTGTTCTAAGGAGGCTGATGATGATACACTCGATCCCACAGTGTGTAGTAAATTCTCGTCAAAGGTTTATTTCTAATGTTTGTGAGAAATCAGTAACTATTAAATGTCAAATTTTAAAGCTGCCATTAAAGCAGAGTTTTAAGAAGTTTAACTGCTGTTTAAAAGCTCCTTAAGACAGAAATTTACCTCAGGTTTCCAAGTATACAGGGTTTTAACGCCCAAACTCCCGTTATTGCTGACTGGGATTTGGTCGGCTTGCAAGATGCCGGACTAGAAGTAGCCTGATTCCAGCCCGGGGTGCTGCTCACTCGCCAAGGCAGCTTCAGAGCAGGACCCCCCAGCGTGCTCCCCGGAGAGGCCACACGCAGTCGGCCACAGCGACCAGTTTATAAGCCAGAGCTGGGCCGACGCCGCCTGAACCGTGCAAGTGTGCGGGCAGGCTGGCGCGGAGCACGTCTGGGAACGCCCAGCGCGCCTGCTCCCTGCTCCCTTCTCCCTTGATGGGCAGCGGCAACTGAGCGAGAGTCAGGCAGCCCTCTGGCAGCGGGCCGGCGGGGTCCCTATTTTCACATTGACAAATCGGGAGCTCAGATGCCACTGAGGTGCTTCTGAAGATGAGCTACCAACGTTAGGACAGCAGCTTCCTCCGGAATTTCTCATGACCAACACATTGAAAATGTTCTAAAATACCCACTCACATTAGAAAACCTGGGTAAGATAGGAAATGATCAACCACCAGTTTATTAGAATTGGCTTTTATTGAATATTTAAAACATGCTAAGCAACCCTAAAGTAACATAAAATTTCTCCACCCCTCCTCCCACCCCAAGCCGGGTGGACTCTGTTGGTTCTGAAGGCCCAAAACCCAGCACTGCCCCCCGACCCAGGAGAGTCTGTGTCCAGAGACGAGCTACTTAGGATTTGGCTTCAAAATCCTTTTTGTCCCTGATAAGCCCAAAATTGCATGAGATACCCCAACATATTGAAAATTTAGGAGAAAGTCTAGAAATGACTAATAGCATATCTATTTATTCTTCACAATTGTTCCAGATGTGAGAGCCCAGATGTCTGACACTCACTGGTCATGAAAGAAGTTACAAGGTCACTGCTGTGTCCTGTGTCTTCCTACACCTCCCTCGGGGATGGGCAGTCCCACAGCAACGTACTGTGGATGGTTCACCAAAAACCTGCTGCAAAACTTGACTTAATTTTCTGAAAGCAGAAAGTGCAGGCGGAGGAGGCGGAGTGCCCGCGGACAGAAGCACGCGTGGCGGGCTCCCCGCTGGGTCGGCCGGTGCGGCCGGGAAAGCCGTCGGCCTGCAGGACGCAGCGCCCGGCCGCCAGCCCCTCAGTGACAAACGCGGGGAAGAGAGGAAGCCCCTTCAGGGCAGGCTGCTCACATGGGAGGTTAAGAGTCACCGTCTGATGTTAGCGTTGTCAGTTCCTATTATTTCACAAAGATGGTCCACGGACAGTTTAGTGAACAGATTAAAAAGTAGCACAAACTGCCATTAAACATTTGTTTTTATTAAATCTGTCAGCTACAGCACCATGCTATACATCATACCTCCTTCAAAATCTGTAAACAGAAATCCTACAAGACAAAGCCAACAAATCTGTGGGGAGATGTTTTCTCAAGCAAGCGGCTCATGGACATCCAGGCCGCCTGAGTGTGCGCCCCGTGTCCCCACCGCTATCTGGTGTGGCCAGTCTTGCTATGGCGTGTGGGTCACTAAGGCACGCCGTGCTCGGAGGAACAGGCGTGGGCCGTGGCTCGACGGGCGTCCCTCCAGAAGGGAAGCCGCTGTGGCCCAGCCCCGCCATCACGCTGCCTCAGAAAGTCCCGCCCCCGTCCTCTGCACACGTGGGAGCACACAGGTAAAAGACAGACGTTCTCATAATTTTTAAAATGCTAAATGTCACGTTTCAGGTGGCGCAGGGTGTGTTTGGCCTTAACTGGAGTGCAGAACTAATCTGAAATATTTGTAAAAACAGACTCGTGTCTGTCTGAGGCCCTGGCCCGAACGAGGGGCAGGAGAGTCAGCGCTGTTCTGAGTTACCGGCATCCCTGCCACGGAATCCACTGAGATCCAGCGCGGCGTCAAGGACGACTGAGCCCTTCAGCTGTGGACAGGGTATTTTCGGAAACTGTTCAGTTTTCAAACTCAAGCTCTGAAGCGACAGACACACGTGGCGGCTGTTTCACGGAGCTCTGGCTACTGCTGGGGTGGGTCGGCTGCCCGCCTGCTCACAGGCAGGCTCCGTTCGCAAAGCTGCAAGTTCCACACACACGTTTAAACTCCATTTCAAACGGTCAGCAGTAAGCGCCTCTGGCAGCTGATTTTCTTTGTGGCATTGACTAGTTCCAAACATTTCTGAATGTCCATCTTATAATTTTTGGAATGTCATTTCAGAAAGCACAGCATCGTACTCTTGTGCTTACCTTCACTTCCCTCCTCTAACTAGGTGATGAAAGACCAACGTCCCACTTAAGAGGTTAAGCTTACTTTTACTTCACGCCTTTATATCCTCTTCTTCAAATCTCTGTAATGAGTAATCTTGAAAAATCCTGCCTAACAGTGGAGGAGGGATCAGCTCCAGTTTGGGAGGTTCGGGTCCAGGTAGGAGGTTCACTCGACGGGAAGGGGTGGGGGCTGGCAGTCCCTCCAGCTGGGACAGCGGCTTGTTGATCCCATAAGGGAAGGCAAAGGCCGGCTTGTCCAGAGGATCCTGGTAACGGCGAGCTTGCCGCTGAGTTAGCACAAAATTGTCTTGGGCTCCATTTTTGGGCTCCATGTCCCGAGTCACGCTACACGAACCAGGCTCAAAGACAAAAGGGGGTGGGACAAATGCGGCCCCCGAGGGCACTCCCCTTGGCTCATGTCAGACCACGGCCCCCGCTCCCTCCCGTCGGCTCCCTGCTCCTCTTCTCCCTCTACAGCGGCAGGGGACGCCTGACACAGGCCACGGCCCCTCCGCGGGGGGCGCCCATGAGCTCGGAGCATGCCAGCAGCGGGCCCACGCGGCAGCTGAGGACGTGGCTGCGGCGACCCGAAGTTCAGAGGGTGACAACATGCACAGTGCCCCCAAGAAACACTTTTCAGTTTTTTCTTTTGCTTTGTTCTAAATGATCGAGATTCTTGCGAAGAAAAACGGGAGCCCTAACCTACAACAGAGTGGTGTTCGGGGCCGCTGTCCGGGTTGAGCCTGCCGGGAGGGGTCTCCTCCGCACACGTGCACACACGGGCAGCCCAGGGAGCCCCGTGTCTCTGATCTCATAAACGACACCTTTTGTCTCGAACTTTGAGAAGCTGTGACTTAGGAATCCTCTGAACTACTGGATGGGTGACGACAAGGTCCCCATAGCGAATGAACAATTCGCATAAACTGAAGGTCACTTGAACTAAGGCGCAAACATGGAGGCTGCACAACGCCAGCCCCCAGCACGCACGGCAACGCCTCTGAGCGGTTTCTGGAACCTGCCCCGTCACACACAGCCTGTGCGAGGACCCGCTCGCCATGTGCCCTCTCCAGCCCCGAGCCGGGGCCCTGGTGGCGGTGTCTGCAGCCCGGGAGCAGGGCCAGCCAATGTGGGGAGGGGCTGACCTGCTGTGACTCACCACCCTCGTCCCCAATGGGGGAGTGACCGCCCACCCAGGGTCCTGGGGAGTCGGTGCCCACGGGCGCTTTCCTACAGGGCACCACTGCCGCCCAGCCTCAGTGCGGCGCCTCCTAGGCCCTGGGGCACTGGCCCCTTGAAGTCCAGGGAGAAGACTGCGCCCCCCTAGCGCCCCCCCACCCCATGTCTGCGCTGCTCCAAGGCCGGGAGGGGCCTGCTCTCCCAAGGCTCCCTGAGGAGGTGGGCTGGGAGCATCGCCAAGCCCAGGACCCACGTGGGGCCCGAGAGCGGGGATGGCCGCAGGGAGGCAGCAGAGCGCGCGCTGGCCGAGCAGAAACCTGCTCAGAGCTGCAGGAAAGGCCGCCGGCCGCCTTCAGGTCCTCAGCGCCCACACCCGACACAGGCCGGCGCCGAGCTGGCGGCCTGTTTGCTGCCCAGAAGTCTATGATGTGAAAACATCAGGGAAGACGTCAAAAATCTGTGGCTGTTTCAGGGATTCATTTAACATGTGAAATAATCCTGAATTATGTAAATCAAAACTGTAATCAAGTAGAGGGAAGGAAAGAAAGAAAGCTAAAAGCCCATTTAAAAAGTCATAGTAAATATTTCCTTATTTTATTGCATAAACAATTAAAAAATTCTGAATTAGTACATATCTGCAGATTTATAAATGGCAATTTCAATAGAAAACAAGCTTTGTAAGTACCACAAACCAGGAAAAATAATGTCTCGTTAAAAAAAGAACAAGTTCAAAGTGGAACGAGATGCCGGTCCCTCTCCTCCCCACCCCCAAGGGGCCCGTGGACGCTCCCTGCACCGACAGCACCTCGCGCCGCCAGGCCCTGTATGGCGGGAGGCCTGATAAGCGGCTGCCGCAGCCCGCCCGCAGCGACACACTGTGCCTTCAGGACACGGGCCAACCAACCCTGGCAAAGTAAGACTCCAAGGCCTTGGGAACCGAAACTAAAATCCTTAACTTTGTAAGTGCCTGAGAAAATGTTAACACTTTTGTCTATAAAGTAATTCTTCTAGGAACGGATTTCTTTCCCTCCATGAACCAGGAGGGAATAACTGTACCGTGACGTTGTAGAAATTGGCATCAAATGTCACCTACACATCATGCATAGGGACATGGCTCACGAGCGTCCCAGGCCCTGCTGGGCGGTGCGAGCGCAGAGCCGGCCGAGAGCAGGGCCCAGACAGCTCTCACAGGGCCTCTGCGGAGTCACACGCCCCAGGTTTCAACGCTTTCAGAGGAGACCTCGGGGGCTGTTTCTCCTGCCCATCTCTCTAGCGTTACTACCATTTTAAAAACGTGTGTTCGGCGGAAAAGGGAGCCCTAACCCGACCCCACACTCCGAGGAGCCAGGTGCTCCCGGTGCACCACTCCCGCCCGGCGCGGCGCTCTCCCCAGCACGCAGCTGTGCTGTGGTCACACGCGAACACCTGTGCGCTCGCTCACGCGCAGCGCCTGGATTCAAAAGCTTAAATACAAAATGGACTTGGTAGCTAATAAAAATAAATATTCTACCTAAAGCAGGGCACATGATTAGAGGTGGGCACAGTGGGGACAACAGACTTGGCCTGTGAGGCCTGGCAGCGAGCGGACGTGCCGGACGCTGGGCAGCACCCATGCCCTGGCCAGATGCAAGGTCCTCGCTCAAGCTAAGGAGCTGCTGAGCCGAGGGGGAAACTGCCAACACCCTGCCCCTCGAACACCCACTCTCAGCGCCTGGCTGCCGACAGGGGAAGTGTGGTTTTGAGTCCACACGTCCCCAAGTCTGAACAACTACCGCCCTGCAGGTGCAAGGGGCCACCTGCCCCACGCGGTGTTGTGGCACAAGGGCTTCTCATGAGCAACAGCCGCCAGTGGGCTCAGGGCCCGGGGCCCCTCCAGTGACCCTCACCCTGGACTGTCGTGGGCGTCTGAGTATTTACTGCAAACCGCCTCCCACTGGGGTCGAGTAAGAACAAGGCCACCGCTTGAGTGACCTGCCACACACACAACAGCACGATGTGAACAGGAAACACGGTCCTTTGGGCTCCTGCGCCCTGTTCCTAAAGGGGTCCCGGGGTGGGGGGTAACAAGCCCTCAGAAGTGACAGAGAAGAGCCATGAGCAGTGACCAGAGGAGCCATGGCTGATTTTAAAATAATTTCGCCATAAAGGAAAAGCTGTAAACTTAAAAATGTTATGAACACACTGGAAAGGAAAATGTAAAAATTCACCCAGGTCTTTGTCAAAAAGCTAAACCTGGGTCTGAACACGATGCCTTCACCAGCAGGGTCCCTGTTTTCCACAAGCCACTGGCACAAAAGGGGAGCCACGAGGGTCTTCCAGCAACAGGGGCGCACGCGCGGCCAGGGCCGTGCGCCACGCAGGTGGTGCTGGGACCTTGACCTGAGCAAGTCAGATGCGAACAAGCACTTCAGACCACGGGCCAACATGAGCCTGTCCTCCCTGGTCTGTGCGACTGTCTGTGTGCGTTTACGTCTCAGACACGCACAAAACTTCAGAGGAAAGTTGCCGGCAAGCCAGGGACCCACCGAAGTTCTGCAGCTTAGCAACAGGAGGGAAGGGGGGCTCACCGGGCCCCCCGCCCCAGCCTCCTGCTCAGACACTGGTGTGGGTCCCTGAAGGAAGAAAGGACAACTCGCCGGTCAACAGCGTCCCTGGGCGGCAGCAGGTGAAGGGCTGGCCGCCCACACAGGATGCGGAGGCCCTGGATAAGCATTTCAGATGGAACGTGTTAATTGTCTTCACCATGCAGACCCCAGGTTTGCATCCTGAGGGACACAGAGGGAAAAACAAAATGTCCCGAACATGGTCCTTTGCAAGTGGCTGCTGACGTCGCCCCCCGCCGGTCAGAGCCGCACAGCCTGGCCACACAGAGGCCACCAGCCGCCGCGGGGCGACCCAGCCCCTGCGGCACACACAAGGGGGCGGAGGCTGAGGGGCCGGCCGCCGCCGCTCACCCCAGACACGGGCCCGGGGGCCAGGGTGCGGGCGAGACTGGGGGTGGGGGTAAGGCAGCCACAGCGGCGGGAGATGTATCAGTGCGCTGAGCCCGAACCCCAGGGGGACTGGACCGCGCTGAGGAAGGGAAGGACGGGCCCTCACAAGAGGCCCAGGGCCGCTCTGGGTCCCCGAGCACCCGGGGTCACGCAGGGAGCCACCCAGAGTCACAGCCTCACAAGGAGCGGAGGCCGGAGGCTTCGAGTCGCTGGAGGACTTGGGAGACGACGAACCTTTAAATGTGGTACTGCTGTCCTAGGTAAGAGTAGGAAGGATAAACAACAAAACCCCCCCCAAAACAAGACCAAATCCATGGACCTAACGCACCGAACAGCGTGCGCCCAGGGCTGGAGTGCAGGTGCTCGGGGGCCAGGCACGCGGCGGCAGTTCCCCCGCCGTCCGTGGACGGGCAGGCAGGGCGCCGTGGGCTGTGAGCGCCGTGGGCAGGGCACCGCGGGGCCTGCACGGCCACCTCGGCCCGGCTGCTCCTGCTGCCTGGGGACAGCCCGTGTCCACGACGGGCCACAGACATGGCTGGCAAGGATGTATCGCACAGCCCCTGGCCTACAAGGAACGACGCTCTTGAGGAAACAGGGGCCCTCGACATTCAGGGTCCCTGGGGTGCTTGTTCATTTGAACAAAGAGCCTGCTCTGCTAGTCTGAAGGAATGGCCCTCCAGCTCACCGGCGCGTCTGGCTCGGCTCTTTTTGTCTGCAAACACTCACAACACCCCGAGGAAGCTCCACAGGAGGAAACGGTTCAATGGCATTTGGAACCGGCCCTCTCCGAGCCCACTGCCCTAGCGCAGCGCGCTCTCTGGGTCTGGAGTCACGGATGGGGCGGCGTCTTTGGCACCGAGACAGCCGGGCAGCCCCAGGGAGCCCACTGCGAGGACGTGGATCCCTCGGGACCTCGTGCAGTGGCTGGATAAGCCAGTCAAGGCTTCCGTCCCGACAGACCTTGGCAGCCTGTGTCATCCAAAAGAGCAGCCCCGGAGGCAGAACACACACATGCTATCACGGAGAGACACGCGTCGGAACCGTGCGACATTCGAAGCGGCAGCACCAGCCGCAAGCTGGGCCACAGCGCGGGCGGGAGAAAGAAGCCGCAAGACGGATCCTCCTGCTCCCGGGGCACCAGCAGCAAACAGCCTCTATTTTAAACTTGATGCTTAAACATCATTCCAAGTAAAAAGTTCTAGTTCTGTGACATTCAAATTAGAAAAATCAATCAGGGAATTAGGAGACAGACTCCCTGGCCACGGACCCAAAACAGACGGTCTGAGCGCATGGCATGGGGGCGCGGGGTCAGCGTGCACCGGCCGGGAGTGGTCAGCACGGGCTCTTATCCACCCGCTCGCCCGGACTCACATTCTGCATACTGTTCTGCAAATCAAAAATGACTCTGCCTCCGCTGCTCTGGGCGAAGGGGCTGCAGAGAAACAGGCTGACATCCAGGGGGGCCTCAGGCGCAGAGCCCCAGGAGTCAGCGTCGGAGCTGCTGGAGTCGTCGGCCGTGGTGGGCGGGCAGCTGAGCCGCTCCAGCTGGTCGAGGACATCGGAGAACTGGAAGGCCGAGCTGGCCTCAGAGCGCACTGAGCAGGCCGGGAAGTTGGCCATGGAGCTGGCCTCGGATTGGGGGGCGGACAGGCCGAGCAGCGGGAGGCGGCCGAGGGAGCTGCTCAGGGACCGGTTGTTCCGGAGGGAGCTGCTCTCGGACGCGCTGAGCAGGCTCTGCATCAGGCTGGCCTGCGCCTTCACCTCGAAGAGCTCCGACGTGTCGGAGGGGTGCACGCTGCCAAAGCCGCTTTCTCCCCCAAACTCGAAGCCCAGCTCTACGTTCACGGGCGCTACCTCGACGGAGTACCTGGCTGGGCTGGGCTGGGCAGAGCCCGGGGGGCCACATAAGGGGGCCCGCAGGACCAAACTGCCGTACGGGCAAGAAAACGCCTCAGAGCCTCCGGCAAAGAAAGAGATGTCTGCTGGGTCGTCATCTATGAACTCCTCGGACACCTGCAGCTGGGCGTTTGTCAATGTGAAAACGGGGCCCCCCCCACTGCCCTGTGGGTCGCGCAGGTGCTCCCCCATGGGGAATGAGCCCACGGCAGGGTCTCCCTCACTGTGGTCACTTTCACGAGCAGCTCTGCGCCCCCTGCCGGTCCCCCCTGCACCCCCGTCTAAGGTGCTGCGACTCTGGCCCCCAGGACTGGTGGGGCTGCAGCTCCTCACAGCACGACCCGACCCGACACCTGGACAAGGCTGGAGCGCCGGGGGCCTAGAGGCCTGGGCCGGTCTCGCACTGGCGCCTTCCATGGCTCCGCGGCTCCTCTCTGCAGCCGGCCCCTTGGCGTGGGGATCCTGGGGCTCCGCCAGGGCGTCCGTGACGTTAGGCCAGCCAGGGGGGACCGTGGGGGAGGCTGGGGCCGAGAAGAAGGAGGCATGTGTTGACGATGGGGACACGGAAGTCCTCAAGCCCTCGGTGAATGACATGCTCTGGGGATCAAAATTAAGAAAAGAAATAAGGACGTCATTTTACGAATCACCACGGGAAAGCAGCAGAGCTAACTGGGCCCAAATCAGCAAGCCCTCCATTCCCACCCCACTTCCCCAGCGAGGGCCTTGAGCAGATTTTCCCTCCGCCAGGCCTGCCACGCAGACAGGACCCCCGGAGGGCCAGGGGCTCCTGTTCCTAGCCCCAGATCCTGCCGCTTGGCTCCCTGTGGAAGCAGGACTCTGCAGCACGGAAACGCCCCTGGGGTCTGCCGCTTCCCCGAGGGCTCGAGGAGGTGGGCCAGCCGCTGCGCTAACGCGGCCCCACGGCAGAGCGCAGAGGGGAGAGGCGGTGACTGGCCCTGCACTCCCATTTCAGAGCGACCCCACGGGGGTGCGGCGCGCAGGAGGGTCACGCAAGCAACGAGGTTCCCCGGAGCCCAGGGCGACCCGGAAGAGCCGGAGCAGCCCCAGGGTGAGGGGCTGAGGGCAGTGGCCAGAGACACCAGGCAGCCCGGCCGAGCCGACTGCTGCCCTGCCCCCTGGATGCGGAGCGAGCCCCCAGGCCTGTGCCCCCAGGACACCCCACACCACGTGCGCGCACAGCAGGAGGGTGCCGGACAGCAGGAGACCAGACGGCAGGGAGTGACAGGGCAGGACTCTCGGGGAGGCGGGCGTGACAGCGGAAGGAACAGCAACTAAGGAAGCTTTTAGGGACAGAATAGCAGCTCGCAGCCCCCGAGACCAATCTGTTTCAAATGTTCATAAACGTCACTTTTTCTTACTCAACCACATTCAACATTCTCCTGTGGCTTTTAAAAGACAGCATCAGAGAACCAAAAGCATGTATCTACTTTTTAGACTCACGCTACTCATAAATTTGAACTCTGTTGAAGAAATAAAAAATTATTTTAATTACAACTGACTTAACAGTGAATTCCTAAACACAAAACATACCTAGGAGAGCTAGAGAATGTTTTCATTTAAAAAACTAAAAACAAAGTTTGGGACACATGAGCTTTAGCGCATGAGGTCCAAGCGCAGCTTCTGGAGATGCTGCAAGAGGGGACGTGACACCCCACCAACCAAGGCGAACGCTGGGCAGGAATCAAAAGTTGTGAGGATGGAGCCGCACAGTTGCACGAGCGAAGTCATGCGCTCCCACGAGAAGAAAAAGACTCTCCCTAAAAGCACGCCGGCCGGGGAAGGTCAACATGACACCGGACGAGGCCACTGGGAGGGGACACTGGCGGCCAGGGTGCCAGCCACCGTGGCCAGATGCTTTCTATGCGCTGGGCGTGTGCCTGCATGTGTTTTGGTTTCAGTATAGTTGTAATCATGCCAAACACAAAGAGATATAAATTTATTTCCTGTTTTTCAGCCTTAAATAGCAAAAACATCCATCCCATTAAGGGAATCAGCTCAATTAGGTAAATTGCTTCCCTAACCAGGCGTTGGACAGGTGAGGCTTTTACAAAGGTGACAGCCCCACGCTGTTGCCCTCCCGGCAGCGAGCAGCCGCGAGGCTGATGGAGGAGAAGGGCAGAGCGGAGAGCAGAGAGAAGGCGGAGGCCGCTGGGCGCAGGGACGGGAGCAGCCCCCGCTTGGCCCCGCCGGCCTCCCTCCTCCCGCGGCCACGTGCCTTCCTCCATCCAAACGAGAGCCACGCGCCGCAGGCTGCTCGCGCCCTGCCAGTTTCACTTAGCCTCACATTCTGCGCGTGTCCCGGGTCACGCTGCTCTCCGAGCACCGCCACACAGACACACAGCGCTGTGCCGGCGTCGTGGTAACCGGGCGACGCTGTCTCCGCACCCAGAGCCTTCTCCTCGCTCAGCACTCGCCTGCGTGAGCACAGTGCTGGGCCTGGATCGGCTGTGTACGTGACACGGCTCATTTTAGGACTCTTGATGCAGCGTTGCCAGGGCACTTCCTGAAGGAGTGCAGGGGACGGACGCGGTGTCTGTATGACCAGGACGGACTCACCTGCTTCGGCAAGTCTGCAGTCAGAGCGCGGCTGGGCATCCGCATCCGGCTGTGTCTTCTGCGAACAGAGAACAAGCGGTGAGCCCCCTCTGATCCTGCACCCCGAGGAAGAGCTCACGCAGAAACACGGCTGAGGCTCCAACAGAGGCATCTAACTAGGAATGGGCAGGGGAACGAAAAACAAGAACAGAAAATAAAAAATATATGCCCTAGGAGAGGTAAAAGCGTCCTCTCACACTAAAGGAAAAATTCCACATGCCAAGAGACAGGTGAAGGTTCAGGTCCAAAGTTGACCAAACTGTGTGAAATCATATACACTGAGCTACACGCACTGGAAACTAAAATACCATACCCGTGTAGAGTGATTGTGTAAAGATATTACAAATCCATTATTATCTCAAAAAGTAAAAGAAAAACAACTCAAGTGTCAAAATACACAATGATGTATTTGAAATGACTTCTATTCAAATAAAGGTTGAAACAGATAAAATATTAATGTTGAAAGCATGCTCCTGACCTCTGAAGACTCCAGAGCTCACCTCTCATACGGGGTTCTCCTCATCGCAGCATCTCTGACATAGTCCACGAGCTGTTTCTGGGTTCTTCCACTGCGGACGAAGGTTCAGATGTTGAAGGAAAGAATCGACAGTCATTCGTGGCATTAATTTTTCACGCAGGCAAAAGGCAGTAAGGCTTGCACATCCTTCCTCAGACACCTGTATGCACATTTTAAAGCTGTGCTCTGTAGTAAGCATCACCGATTCTCTAAACAAAGCTTTTATTAAGTCAATTTTTTTCACTATTTTATTTGCTACGCTTTCTCCAGTTTGACAGTAGTTGCCTCCTGCATGCAAGTCTCTGAAACATCTTAAACAGTTTCCTTGACTAGTGGTATTTCTGCTCCCAGCTGGACCAAGCAACCCAGGCCCCAGAGGGCGGTGCGACCCCACCTGTATCGGAAGGAGGAGCCCCGGGTGAAGAAGACGGCTTTTGCTTTCGGCTTCGGTTGATCGAAGAGCCTGAAAAAGGTGTGATACTCCACACAAATCTTCCAGAAGTTCTTACATTCATCTCTACTACCCAACAAGAATTCCAGTGTGTCCTGGTAAGGTCCCTAGAAACAAATACAAAGGTTCAAGTAACTAATTCAAGCACAGAACTTAGGAAGCAGTTAACATAACAAGCTATTTTGAAGTTAAAAATTAGGAAGACCTTTCCCCTGAAAACTGTAGGTAAAGACTTTTGGTTCCGTTTCCATTGAAGAGAAGACAGACACAGCACAGACACGCATACTCTCTGCTCATGCACACCGTCCTCAGAGCACTGGGGCGCAGACCCTGGGGTGCGTCCTCGAACCTCCCCGCAGAGAGACCAGGGTGCTGTCCACGCGGTCGGCACCTGCGTCTGTTGTCACGGCACCGTTTTCCCGGGAGCTGCCTGGGGGGGGGGTGCCTGGGACTACCCAGGCGTGCGGTTTTGCAGGCTCACAAAGACCACTGGAAAGAGGCTTCCGTGTCGCCCCTCAGAGCTATTCCCGGAAATGCGCCTTGGAATGCCTGTCAGTTACCACGTTGCTGCCCAGAGACTCCACCACCTCGACTCCAGGATTAGCCTTAGGGATCGAGGTGCCTGAGGACATAACATTATGCTTTTCCAATGAATAGCTGCTATGGTATCTGGAGCCATAATTCGATTCTTCCTTAGTTTTTTCAGAGTGATTGCCAGAAAAATTTTTTTTGTAACTTACAGAGAAAACAAGCAACCTTTTGCTTGCATTTTGTCTGTCTTTGGCGTTTCTTATACTTCCTTTCAACTACAGAAGAGAGATCCGGATCGTGAACACGCAGGCGCCCGCTCAGAGGACAGCACGGCCGGGCGGGACAAAGCCCTTGCCCTGGAGGAGCCTGCAGAGCCTCCTCCGGACCGCCCCCTCCAGGCCCTGCAACGGCCCCGGGGCGGTTCACAGCCTCCCCCCCCCCCGCACAGGTGCTCAGCTCACCTGCTTCCCATCTGTCTCCTCCTTCCCTCACCCACTGCAAATGTAGCAACTTGGACATATCTGGACAGTCTGAAGTGTTGAATTTTTGCCAACCAGATTGTATAGACATTTTACTTATTTTTTCCATTTTTACTCATTTCAGTAAACAAATATGCAATTATTACTTTACTGGCTGATAATCTCAAGAAAAAGGAACATTTATTTTCTGAAAATCAAGGCTCTTCTGATTAGAGCTATGAAAGGGTTGATTTCAGAGCCGCAGATGCCTGAGGACGTGGGGACCCCCCCCACTCCAGATGGAGCCCCCGGGCACTGGTTGCAGCCCCCACTCTGTAGTCCAGCTCAAAGAGGCTGTAACCACCAGCCTCTCGGCAGCCCTGCACCTGGCAGACGGGCACATTCCCAGGCCGCCCCAGCCCTGCCGGACCTTGCCCCCCACGCTGTGCCCTCACCGGAGAACTGCTGTGCAGGCTGTGGGGAGCCCTGCCCCGGCAGGACCCTGCCCTTAAATTCAGGTGTGCATCACGCTGGCGTGACTTAGGGACTACGTAACCCACAGTCCCAGCAGAACACAGCCGCTCACAACTTCGCAGCGGCTCTGGGTCACTTACGTGGACCTCTGGGTGGAGCTTGATGAGGAATCTTTTCCTCTTGAAGCTGAGCTTCCGGACCCTGGACCAGTTGAAGGTGTTGATCTTGGTGGTGCACTGAAATCCAAGAGAGGGACACGCGCGTCACCCAGACTCAGGCTCCCAGGAGCCCTCAGGAGAGGGGTGGTTGGGTGCGTCCTTGCCAGACAGCACAGCAACGCACATGGTATTTTACCGCACTTGGAATGACTCCGAATTAAAATGTTAGTACCACAGCCTAATGTGTGTGTTTTGGAAAGACAACTTGATTTCTCTGATAAGGCTTTATTACAAGTTATTTTTTACTAACGTTAATATTAACACTTCTGAAGCTCACCCTGCAAAAAGCTCAAGGGTCACAAGGGGCAATGGTGGAGGCCGGGCAGGGGAGCTCCCCAGGAGCGGGGGAGGCCAGCATGGGCCCTGGCGCCCGCCGCGCCGCCCACCGAGGGCGGGGACCCGGCCCCTCAGCACTACCTCCCACCCGGCAGACCTGTGGTCTCCCAGGGCAGAGCAGGCAAAGTAGAAAACGAGCCTGGAATGTTCTGTTGTGCAAGAAAGTAAACACGTGCTCAAAAATGTGGGGACATGTGACAAGGACACAGGGGCCTGCGTGAAGGATGCCCGTGACCAAGCGTGGGATGTAAAAATCAAAATAAATAATGGCAAAAACTAAGAAGTATCAGATTGTAACCTGGATTTTTATAATTTGAATTTAATGCGACTGTAACACAGATCCGTAAGTCCACAGTAACATCAAGAAAATAAATGGAAAGGGGGATTCACAAAGGCACCCTGAGCTGCCCCCAGGGTAAGTGACCTGCTGGCAGGCGGGGGGAGGGCTCCATGCGCGGCCCCCGCAGGGCGCTCCCTGATCACCAGGGGCAAACCCATCTGACCCCCGATCGACGTTGACACCGTGGGCAGCAGGACAGGCAGACACCCTGGGACAGGCGGGCCCCGCCGGCCACAGCACAGGCCGCACCAGGCACGCCAGGCGCCTGCGATCCGCCTGCCGGGAAGCTGAGCCTCGGGCAGGTCCCAGACCAGCCCGCAGGATGGCCACTCTAGCCCACAAAACGACCAAAACATCAAGGTCGTGAGGCGCAGGGAAAGCAGCAGAAAGTCCCCGACTGAAGGGACGGGACAGGCGGAGCGACTGCACGGTGCTGACCTCAGACTGGACCTTCTGCAGCACGCGCGACGGGGCCGCGGCGAAGTCTGGACGGGGGTGAGGGGCCTGGCACGGTGGAGCTCCTTGTACCACCACAGCTGTACCTTCCCTGTGAGCCTGCAATGGTTTCCCCATGAAACACCTGGACGTACACAGTCCTTTCCTGACGTTTGCTGCTCCTGACCGGCGTGGCCTCTTACGCTCTCCTGCACATCTGAGGCGGGGAGGGCAAGGTGGGAAGGTTTTCCTCTTGGGGAGGCCGAGAGGGCCCTCAGCCCGGGGACGGGGAGGCGCTGACACGCAGTGCAGCGTGGGCCGCCTGCGATGCCAGGGCAGGAGCCTGGGCACACAGGGCACCCTGCTGACCCCGCCTCCGCGGGCCGTCCAGAAGGACGGGCAGACGGGAAGCGGATCGGAGGTGGCCAGGGTGAGGGGCGATTCAAACGTCCTGGCGTTCGGAGAGGTGATGGTCACACAGGGATGTAAACGGGCTAAAAAGGACTGTGCCCTTTCAAGTGGCAGATGTTATGGTGTGTGAATTCCATCTCAATTTAAAAGATCCTTGATTTAAGAGATGTCCTCAAAACTAAGACATACATGCCCGGGTCCAAATGAGACCTGAAGCTTCCTAGCCCCCAAAATATGGCCCAAAGGCTAAATTACTCTAATTTCTAGTCAAGATAAAATACTGGAGGATTTTCAAAGATGTTCTCAAAATATAGAAAACAAAACGACCCAAACACAAAGCAGCAGCGACGAGAACCATTTTCAGCTTCGAGACGGCCTTTCCACGTTCTCTTTTGCTCCAGATGAACAGCTGTGCAGGTGCCTGCCGTCTGGAGTTCGCACCTCGGTTCCGAGCCTCTTCCCAGCAGAAGCCCAGCATAGTCCTCCGCGCGGCTCCCGGCGCCTCCCCGCACGCCGGGCAGGACCTGGGTGCTGCAGGGCGGGCGACCCCGCACCTTCCCTCCCACCAGTCATGCTCTTGCACCCCTGCTGCTGCGTGCAGCCTTCCTTGCCGCCGTCTCTCAAACCTGCTGACTCCTCAACACTGTGACCCCCACTCCTGCGTCCCTGGGACTGCTTCCTGCTCCCACCTCAGCGATGCGAGGTTTTGACTTTAGTGAGGCTTTCCAGAAAACGTAAACAGTAACTAGGTGAGTAAGGTTCCAGTTCCAAAGCACAGAGAGGGAGTCCACGGTGGTGCAGTCTGCCGGCCAGCGCCTCCTGCAGCCGCCGGCCCCTCCCCCGAGGCCTCCGGCTTTCTCTGAGTGGGACGAGCAGGGTGCGGGCGGGGGCTGCCCCGTCTCTTCCCCGTAAGCAAACCGCACACAGTTTCGAGTCTTTTCTCCACGCAGCAACCCGCCTCGGCAGCTGCGCCCCGAGTCAGGCCACAGAGCTTCCGCGCCGTGCGCAGCGGCCCACGTCCCAGGGCTGCGCTGGGGTTGCCGCAGCGGCAACGGCATGTCATGGCACAGGCGTCTGCATGTGCGGTGAGGGGTCCGGTGCCGAGGCGGCACGGCGACGGACACGTGTGTGCGCCGCGCCGATGGGCGAGGTGCGGTGTCCTCTGCGGACGGTGTGGGTTTTGCTTCTTTTGTGTTTCTTTTCTCCAGCCCTGGCACTGCTTCTGCCTCTTCCCAGTTTCTCTGTCCCAGCAACTTGGTATCGGTCCTTCCAGGGAGAGGCCACGGGGCCACGCGGTGTTCAGAAGGGCCCAGGGTGCCGAGGTGTGAGTGTGGGGGGCGCACGGGCTCGGCTTTGTCACCGGGCCTGGTCTGGGCACTCGGAGGAGGGACCGGATGTCCGAGTGGTCTCAGGTGTCTCAGTGGATGGCTCATTAGAGAAAAGCTGGCGACTACACAAGGGACGAACTGGAGACACTGGATCAAGAGTCACAGCCCCAGGGAGGCCTGACGGTGCCTCAGGCGAGACCCTCGGAAGGACATGCTGTCACCTGGGGGGTGGTCGAGCGGGGGGGCCACCTGAATGCAGTCACAGAACGACTGACAAACAACAAACAAGGACCAGTCCCCTGGAAACAAAACGGGGCCGCGCTCTTCAACACCAGCAACGTCACAAAACGGAGAAAAGAGACACACACCACAGCCCGTCGATGGCTGAGACAGAAACAAAACAGGGAAAGGCACGTAGGCAATCGTCATGTTAAGACGGAAAATGCTTAAATCGCTGCTCTGTAAATCCGGTCATCGAACTACTAAGGTGGCTGGTGACAAGGAGCTGGGTGTTATCACACAGCCGCTTTGCGGGCACACTGCATCTTTTTTCACTTTTTAAAAAACTGATTCTAGAGAGAGAGGGAGGGAGGGAGAATGAGAGAGAAAGAAACATCCATGTGAGAGAGAAACATCGATCAGTTGCCTCTTGCAGGAGCCCTGACCGGGGACCGAAGCTGCAGCCCAGGCCTGTGCCCTGCCCGGGAATCGAACCAGCGGCCTTTCGGTTTGTGGGTCGATGCCCCACCCACTGAGCCCCACTTGTCAGGGTGCCCGCAGCCACATTTAGGCCACGGTCTCCCTCCCTGTCAGTGTGACGCGGCACCTCTACTTCTGAGCTGCCGCCGGAGAGGAAGAGGCTGCCCGGCTCCGATCTGGGGCTGCAGTGCCCTCAGACAGGCGGATGGATGAGGCCGGGGTTCCGCCGTCGGCCCGGCCCGCCTCCGGCAGCTGAGCGGTGCCCTCGCCCAACCCTGGGCCACACTGGCCCGCTCCCGGCTGCCCCTCCGCAGGCTGTTGGATTCTCGTCTTTTCCACACGTCTTCCATTTCCCAGCTTCCAGAATTTTGCTGACATGCCTCATCTTCTGTGGTGTCCTTTTCCAGTCTTTGTTCTTACTGATTTAAACTTAAAAAGAAAACAAGTTCCTTCTCTGTCACTCTGGTGGGGGTTTGAGGGAGCAAACTCGACAAGCTCTCTTAGCTCTGGAGTCTCCAGGCCTTCGCTTTTCCACTGTCCTCTGGTTAGAAATGAGAAGCGACGGCAGCTGGGTTTGCATGGCTGCCTGACTGGATTCTGCGCTGTCGGGACAGCGACCAGGGCGAGCAGGGGCAGGGCCCAGGCGCCCCAGGGGGTGGGTGTGGCGGCTGACAGCTCTGGTGTGACCTTTACTGTTCTCCTTACAGCCAGTGCAGCAGGCGACACAATCACTATTCTACATTCAAAACGACCTTCCCTTGGGAGGGACAGCGAGGTGATGGAGAAACGGGGCGCGGGCTCCTGAGAGGGGACCGCAGCCAGCGGCAGGGACAGGACTAGGGAGCTGCCCCCGGACTCCGATACGCGAAGGGCCCGCGTCTCCAGCTGGGGCCTAGGACACATAACCCCAAACAGAACTCAGCGGCCATTTACGTAGCTATTTATCCAAACACAACTGACAGAGAAGTCCCATAAGGCTCCATGTGACACTTTGCCGTATTTTCTAGGGAGCCCTGTCTCCCCTCCCCCAGACGCACACCCGGAGCCGTGGGCCGTGACCAGGTGCCGAGGGGCATGGGCTCCGTGACAGTCTGACAATGACAAGGACAGGAAGACGATTTGTCTGCTGGGTGAACGGCCAGATCAGATGACATGCAAAGCCCCCTCCAAATCCAAGACCTTACTCATCGGAACGGAAATCCAACAACGTCTGTGGGAACCAACGCCGCGCCCCGCGCCGCACCGGGGAGCGCCGGTCCTACCTGGAACACGAGGACGCCCATGTGCGACACGGCCAGGCTGATCTTGGCGCCCTCCCTGTCAGAAGCCTTGTGGAACCTGATGCCATACATTTCCAGCTTCCGGGCCACCTCCAGCACCTGGAAGTCCGACTCGGCAGGTGTCTGGCCCCTGTGACGAAAGACGGCAGGGTCACGGCACTGATCGCGGCCCGAGAGCTGAGCCCGTGAGCAGGGAGCCCGTGGGACGAGCCGGCGCAGGAGGCTTGTGTCGGCGGGGCTGACGGGCCACCGCCTACGACGGAGCCCGCGACACACACGCCCCGTCGCACGCCCACAGAGCACCCCCCACCCCCCGTGGCCTGCGGACCTCAGACGGGCATCTCTCTGCATCTGCGATGCTCAGCCTTGAACCTGTTGTCAGGCTGACGGGGGGCCGTGCACACAGGACAGGCCGCAGCCCCCGCGGCCCTTCGAACACTGAGGCCCAACGTGCAGGCCGACGAGCGGAACACACTCCCCTGAGGGGGAAGCTGGAGGCCTGAGCGCAGACACACCACCAGCTCCAAGGTTCTCTCCTCATTCAGGTCTCGCGTGCCACACGTTTCTCGGGTCCACGGCGCACGGTCCTGCTCCTTCCACCTCGGGGGTAGGGGGTGCCATGCTCAGACGGGGCCACAGGCACAGGAAGAGAGTCCTGCCCAGCAGCACCCACACCCTGGCCTGAACCCCACAGGGGACTGTCCATTCACAACTTTTCCCTCCTTACTCCCAAACGCCTGAGCTTTTGGACCTTGAAGAACAACAGGAGGGCCTGGGTTACGCCGCTCCTGGGATTTCCACTTTTTGAGTTTGATATCGACACCCGACTATTAACTCTTCATAAACCCTCCACAGGAAGGGACCCGTGAGGGGCCACGTCCCTTTCCCAGGAGCCCCAGCCTAGAGACGAGCTCCCTGGGACGCTGCCGCGGCCCTGAGGCGGCGCACGGGTGAAGGCTGGCGGAGCTCCGAGGGGCCTGCTGGCACCAGGGGTGTCGGGCCGGTCTGGTGACCCAGAGAGGAAGGAGGGAGTGGCGACAAAGCCCGCGTCTTCGAGGAACCGAAGCCGCCCTGAGCAGGTGCCGCACGAACGTGGACGGCAAGGGCCACTCCACGGACACCACGGGGAACGCTCTCGGGAAGGGGGAGGGGTGACCCTTTCTATAGCGCGCAAAACCCCCGGTGGTGTGGCCTGGAGCTCTGTGGACGGCGGGATGCGTGAACCCCGAGGTCGGACATTCGGCTGAAACAATTCCCAGGCCACGCGCTGAATGCGCCGCCCGGCTCCGGACGGCTCAGGGTCAGACGCCGGAGGGCGGGAAGGGTGGAAGGACGGCCTTCTTAGCAAAAAGGAAGCAGGATCTACAGATTTGCAAATGATGACAGCCCTCAGGGCGTGGCCAAGTGACCCTCTGTGAGGGGCTGGTGCAGTCCACCGGTCCCCGCGAGGTCAGGACCCACGGAGCTGCCCTCTCCCAGCCCAGGGCGCAGGGCTGGGTGGGGCGCGGCTGCCCCCCATCTGGGTTTCAGGGACCCTCCGCCTGAGCTGCGGAGTGACTGGGGCGGGCGCACGGGGGCGGGGCCCCGGCAGGAGCCGCTGCGGGGCCAGGACAGGCCTGAGGAGCTGGGCACTGAGCCCCAGAGGGTCACACGAGACGTGGGACTCGGCGTCACTGGGCCCATTTGGCTTGGACTCGCCTGGGACCTGTCACCCGTGTCTTCCCGCCCTCGCCCCTCTGCGGTGGGCACATCCGCCCGTCCCTGTCTGGTGTCACAGGTTCACAGCGGGAGGGGCTGGGGCTCAGGACCAGCTGTGCCTGGGTCTCTCTGGCGTCTGATTCGGTAGAGCCTCCAAGACAGGAGGGCTGTGAGGGGGAACGGATACAAATTACACGAAGGACACGAGCTGTGGGGGACAGGGCGGGGCCTCACAGATGAACATTTTTGTTCCCCAGATTCAGATGTTGCAGCCTAACCCCCAACGTGGTGTATTTGTATTTGGAGGGGGTGCCCTTGTGACAGGCCCCGGGCAGACCTCCCCACTTCCGCCTGCGAGGACACAGGGAGAGGACATGATCCGGGGGGTCACGTCTAAGCTCTGTAGTTTGTGAGCCCCGCCGTGCGGCCGGCTACAGCAGCCAGATGGTCAAGACACCAGCTTCCGCGTCTTTTCCTGCCGTCTCAGAACGCCAAGGACAGGAAGGCAGAAGTTAAGAAAAACCTTCCTCGCTGTCCTGCTCAGGGCTCATGGGTGTTTCCATGGGGCCAGGAAGGGAGGTGTGAGCTGAGTACAGAACTCAGCGGACTTAACGCAGGTACAGGGCCTCCTTTAAGAGACCTACGCAAAAAACGGCCGGAAGGAGTAAAGGCACAGGGGACTCTCTGGCGATGGCGGGGGACAAAGTCAGCATATTGGAACCGCAAGAGCGAGGGGGCCGAGCGGCTTCCTTGGAAGGAGGCCAAGGTCATCCCGTGCGAAGCAGGTCGCCTGGCTTCTCTCATCGGTTTCCGAGCGCCTCTAATGCAGCCACCTACCCGCCCCCCACATGCACATGTGAACACACGTGCAGGGCTCCAGCCCCACCCCCGCAGGCCAGCTGCTCAGTGTCCCGGTTCCCAGCCTGTCACCATGTCCCCACCTGTCTGCCCTGAACCTCACCGCGGCCGGGGAGGCCCACGGGCACCGTCCCGCTGCTGCGCCCAGGGGCGCGCTCCTGCCCACACTCAGGGCGCCTGCGGCAAGCCTTCCCCAGGGCCGCGGCCCCTTCCTGAAGCCCCTCCCTCGATGGCCGCGGCCCCCATGCTCCTGGCTCTCTTCCAGCTCACGACCCCGTGGGTGCACCCTCCTGTACACACCCTTAAGGCAAGTCTTCGGGGGTCTGCCCTGGGCTCTGCTCTCTTCCCTCTGTACTCGCCCGAGGCGACCTCGTCTGCCGCAGCGTGTGACCCGCCTGCATGACAGGACCGCAGACCCCCTGGGTGACGCTGTCGTTGTGCGACCGTCCCCGGGTCCGGCCCACCCGTTCCTCGTGTGTCCAGCCCTGGCTCTGTGCGTCTTGGGAGGGAGGGACACTGCCCCCAACTCCAGGCACAAACCCTGAGCAAGTGACTGCCCCTCTGGGCTGGCACTAGGAGAGGGCCCTCTCCCGGCTGATCCTCGGGTCCTGGCGACTCTTGGACCTGCTGCCCCTTCCCTGCTACCAGCCAGGTTACGGCAATGCCCGAGAGGCGCCAAGTCAAGGATGCCCAGGACCGTGGCCTCTGCGAGGCAGCCCAGGCGCACTGAACCCGGACACCGAGAGACAGTCAAACCGCCACACCCAAGACAGAGCTCACGCCCTCACTGTTTCACCCCACAAAAGGGGGTCGCAACAGCCCATCACACAGTGTCTAAGGACCACACGCAGCCCGGTGCCCAGTCCGGCAACCCCAGCACTGCAGCCTCCGCCCGGCCCCCGCCCACTCTGCCGCCAGGCCCCGGGCCTCCCGCCCACTCTGCCGCCCGGCCCCCGGCCTCCCGCCCACTCTGCCGCCAGGCCCCGGGCCTCCCGCCCACTCTGCCGCCAGGCCCCGGGCCTCCCGCCCACTCTGCCGCCAGGCCCCGGGCCTCCCGCCCACTCTCCGGCCCCGCCCGGCCTCCCATCAGCCTCCCCGAAGCAGCAGCCTCCTGGGCACTGCTCCACCACCCGTCCTCGCCGCCACTGCCCTGTGGTGGGCTCTGCCCGCGCTGCAGCACGTGTGCCATCCTCACAGCGACACGCATGCACACCTGGCGCTCGCCCGACGTGGGTGCGTGAAAGGGAGCGCTTGGCGCTGGCGAGCAGCAGACACGCGAGATATCACACGCATATTACGGGGCAGCGGACTCGACACAGGACGCCTGGCCTGTGCTGTTCAAGCTGCCCTGACCTGGCAGACAGCAGGGACCGAGCGCTGCACCCGCACGCTGTCGCCCGACAGAGTGAACCACCGGCCCCTTCACTAGGCTGCGGCGGAGTCGTCCAGTCTCTGCCCGTGGCCACCTTGCCCTCGACCCGGGGGCTGCCCTGGGCCTGCCTTCTGTGGCTGGTCCCCCGCTCTCAGTCCTCCTGCTCCCGCAGGCCCCTCCGGGCGCCCCTTGCTTCAGTCCAGGAAACGCACAGGCGCCAGAGTCAGGCGCCGGCAGCTCTGCCTCTACCACCCCTGCCGGCCGCGCGGCCAGGGCCCTGACACCCTTTCGCGCCTTCTCGAAGGTGGGCGACTGAGCCCGGGCAGCGGGGTCGGCCGTGGCTCTCATCACAGCCTCGGCGCCGGCTCCTGATGGCCGGCGCCGGCGCACTCACATGTGCTCCCGGTGGAACTCCAGGATCTTCTCCAGACAGCGCTCCTGGTGGGGCAGGTACCGGGTGGCTTTGAGGTGCTCGCGATCCAGCGTTTCGTCGTAATCGCCGATTTCCGCTGAGATGAGATGGTAACGGTCAGGAATCTTAAGTTTTAAATAAAGAGCTACATAAACTCGTAACATTTTACTACAGATTTAGGGTAATTTTTTCTACTTTTATCTTAAATCTGTAGTAATATGAATTTATAGAAAATAATAATATAAATAAATGAGTTTGTAGTTTATTTTTCCAAATAGACTAGGAAAGCAAACCTCAAGACAGGTGAGGAGAATTTTTTCTGAGTTTTGAAGACAAAGATGCAGGTGGGTGACTTGTGTTTGTTAAGATTTACACACACTTTATCCACAAGCTGTCTCAAGACTCCCGTGACCAGGATGATGTATTTTGTTTGTTTCATGATAATGTATTTTAAATTGATTTTTCCCTTCTGGGCCTCTCAAATTCTTGAGGAACAATGTTTCTTTCTAATTTCATGTATTTTCAGGCTATAAATGGTTTAAAAAATAGTAGTTAAATAATTTTAAGTATTGTATTGTTTTTGTTTTGAGCCAATTTCCCATTCACAGAGAAGCGGCACGTGTAGACCTGCGCTTCGCCACGGGCTCTTTACAAAGCAGGCCGCCCTCCACAGCGGCCGCAGCGCAGGCACCCAGCTGGGGCAGGACCCTGACCAGCTGTGACGCGTGAGCCCGGTGCCTGTTCACGTGTCCCTGGCCGCCCGACTGTGTCCTCTGCGGCCGAAGGCCTGGTTCGGAGTTGCAGGCGCGTACGGCTGCCACATCTCTTCAGTGGCCGTCGGCCGAGCGGCGCACGCATGAGGGGGAACTCATAGCTGGTCACTATGACAGAGCTCGGCTGCCCACAGAGCCCCCCGTGAGCGGCCACGTGAGTGCGCACTGAGCAGTCATCTGTCCAGCAGGGAAGACTTGAGGCCAAGTGATAACTAAGTGACTTGGAAAACCCATGTTCACGAGAGCCGACAGCCCCATCGCTAAGGAGGCGAACCACTGATCTAGCTGCTGTCCGGGAGGTGCATCCGGGAAGGGCCAAGGACAAGGCCAGTGAACCCACTTGCTCCGTGCCCCTAACACGGCTGCGCTTCCCTGCACACTCCTGCGTTCAGCTTCCAGAAGCGCTAGCCCACAAACCACATGGGCGTTTCCTTCTCTGTCCCCCCCAGGGTGGGAGCCTGGTGAAGCCCCGGCAAAGCCCACCCCTGCTCGTCAGCGCCTCCTCTTACGCTTCTGTCTATTTTGAAGTAACTACAGCTCTTCACATATGGCTGCACCATCTCTCACTCTACGCAAGATGCTGAGGAATGTGCTCTTTTTCCTTCGGGGTTTAATGCCTGACTCTTCCCCAGAGGGGCTGTGATGTTTGCCCCAAAGAGGCTCCTTCTGGGGGTGGTGAGTCAGGGTCACTGACTGCCCTCTAGATGGAAGGGGTTTTAGGTGAGACATGTGAAGGCACAAGTGATACACAATCCGGAAGAAGGTGTGTGGTGCTGCCTCAGGCCTCAAGCCTCTGTTCCCAGTGGGGGACAGGGGGGCTGTCTGCCTTAGGGACCCTACTTTGTAGCAGTTAGCCTGCAGTTTACGACAGATGTGCACACCACAAGGCCCGTCCTTTGCCGCGCCGCCCACGCCCCGCTGGTGCCGGCGGGCAGGTACTGACCCTGCAGCAGGTGGGCCGTGAGGAGGGCCGCCGTGGTGTCTGAGCAGGTCAGGCGCTCCTCCAGCAGGTCTCTCTTCAGCTGCAAGGCAAACAAGTATCTAGAAGGGAATTCAAAACATCAGAGAGATCAGCTCCAAAGGTGCTGGAACACACTCCACACGTCTCCGCTGCCCCAGGACGCGGCTGCCGCTGGTGACAGCAGAGCGGCCGTGCGCGGAGGCCAGGCCGTGAGGGGCCGGGCTTGGTCCCCACACCGCGCATGGCTTCCTGCTGTCACACACACCAGCGCACCCACAACCTGGGTCGAAAAGCAGAAATGTCCAGTTAAGATGCAAACATGGCTCTGAATCTGGAAGCAGATGAACAACATTTCTTCACTAGAGCTGGAGGGACAGGGACGTCTGGTACCACTGGAGAGAATGTAACCAGAGAAGGTGATTTGAGGATGTTGCTGCGTTGGCTTATTCCACCAGCCGGGGCTGCCGGGCACAGGCTGGGCCGCCGGCACCGCCTCTGGGTCTGGAAACACGGCAGCGAACAAGTCAGGCGCTCCCTCCCCCTGCAGGAACTCACACCCGAGTGCGCGCTCTTCCAACGTAAAGGCGCCCCGGACCCCAGCACCCCAGCACAGGTGCTTCCCGAGCTCACAGGGATGCGTGCACAGGGCGCGTGTTTGCAGTGCTGTAAGAGCGGCAAACGGGAACTACGCTGCCGCGCACAAGACCGTCAGTAACTGAAGCTGCGGCCACGTGCGCGCTCACAGGGAAAGCCCTCCGGGCCTGTGCTGCAGGCGGTGGTGACACCGGCCCCGCCGCCAGGGACACTGCAGGCACTCGCCTGGGCAGCATGAGGTGCAGGGACCAAGGGGAGCTCTGCTTTTACTCTCCAGATGTTTATTTTAACGTTTCTTCTCTTACCACAGACGAGTATTTTTTATATATAAAACTGGGACCTTCTGTAGAAACACAGCCTCGGCCCAGAACACTTCCTGCTACTCATCGTTTTCCAGGTGTGTATGAGAGGGAACCCCCAAAACCGGAATCCACTCATAGAAGCTGTGGGTCTATTCTCTGGCGTTTCAGTGTCAGTCACTTCGGAGCGCCCTCCAGTTGATGGAACACCCCTATCGAGGCGTTTTTCCCATGGCTCAAAGCAGGTTTTGAACGCGTCAATTCTGAAGCCTTTTAGAGCTTCTGCCATTTTGTTTCACCTCTTCTGCATCAGCAAAATGTTTCCCTTTGAGGGCTTTTTTCATCCGGGGAAACAAAAAAACGTCTCTCGGGGCGAGATCGGGTGAGCAGGGAGGGTGGGGCACGGGTCCTGCTGTGTTTGGTCAAAACCTGCTGAGCGCGCAGGGCTGTGTGGGCAGGTGCGCTCGTCAGTCACGCGTCACGAGATGGGCACACACGGTAGAAGAGCCTTCCAAACAAACTCACTGCCGCCAAACGCAGCCTCTCTCAACAGCGCCTGCTGGTGCGCGGATCCAGGTGCGCTCCTGGAACGCTCACCTCGGGGGGAAGCCCGGACTCCCCGGGGCCCACCCTCCGGAAGATAATTCTGGGTGTTTTGGGGTTCCCCCTCGTATACTGATATGTATTTAGAAGCTATGCCCCCCAAGGGGACTTTCTGGGCAAGCGACAGGCGCCTAACAGGCCGCGGAGACTGAGCTGTGTTCCCCGCAGACCCTCTTCGCCCGGGGCCGTTTCCTCGCCCCGACAGCCTGCGCTCCTGCCATGGCACGTGGCCCGTGACAACTGGGTGCAGGGAGGCCCTCAGACGCCGAGGACGAGCCCGTCCCTCCCGACCCCCACGCCGCGTGGCCCTCCACCGTCTCACACCTGACCGTGGGCTTTGAGTCGGTTTTTAGGTTGTTGCTTTATCCTTATTACAAAATCGGGACATAGAACACAAGAGAGAAAACCTCCCACAACCCTACTGCCCAGATCAGACAACGGTTCGACGCCTCCTTTCAGTCCTCTGCAAACGGCCCCCGGGACTTGGAGAACAGCAAGAGGCGGCCCCGTGCAGCTCCGCCACGCCAGCCACAGGGCTCATGTCCCTGGTACTTCTCCCAATTAAGTGTTTTGTTGATTACAAGTAACTACATGGGCAAAATTCCTAAGAACTTTATGCACGAGATACATCTATACTCATTTAGGGACTACTAGTTCGATTGTACCCTAACACCCTGTTTTTTATTCTCCAATTGGTACCACAAACCTTCTAAGCCCCATTCACGTTTGTATCTGCAAGGGTTAACTGCCAACATGCTTCTTTTCTCTGCTACACAGGATGAGTTCTGAGGCATGTGCGGGGCCCGCCCACTCTTTGCATAAACATGCCCTGAGCACCTCACGCGCTGGCCCTGTGGGGGACACCGGCAAGGCCAAGGCCCTGTTCAGAGCAGGCTCTTTACCGTGTGTACTCTTCCTGCAGCTGACCCGGGTCAGGAGGGAAAAACTTCACTGCCAGGCGAAGCACTGCATTCTTCGGCCCTATAAAAAGAAAAAACTTTAAATGTCACAAGTAAGGTCAATCTCTGTATTTGCTATCTTCCCATGTGTCATGATATAGTTGGGCTAGTCCTTTCCAATGGACTGTTAAAGCAAACTTTCCAGGCCTGGCTGGTGCAGCTCAGTGGACTGAGCGCCAGCCTATGAACCAAAGAGTTGCCGGTTTGATTCCCACTCGGGGCACAGGCCTGGGTTGCAGGCCAGGTCCCCAGTAGGAGACGCGTGAGAGGCAACCACACATAGATGTCCCCCCCCCCTTCCCCTGTCTTAAAAAAAAAATAAACAACATCTTTAAAAAAAAAACCTTTCCAAATTAGATGCTATTAAGAAATTTCCTACGTAGGAAGTTGTGAATCCTAACTACCAGCCATATATATCAAAGAGAAATTAAAAACCTTTGTGTCAAATGGAGGTTTCTCAAGGAAACCCTAAAAACAGGCAGGAAACTGTACACTAAAATTTTAAAGTATTTTTATTTTAAAAAATTAGGATGCTCACATTAGTAGTAATAAAAATTATTTTTGAATTCCTTACATACTTCACTGAAATAAAAATGTTATCAGTCACAATCACATTAAACCGGAATAACCTGATTACTGTAAAGAAAAGCTCACCTGAGTATCTCAGCTTTACTGAAATTTTATAACAACACAACCATGTAATTTTACCAAAAAGGAAAGAGAAAAGAGGGTTTTGCTAAAATGCTATGGCAACTGAAATGTCCAGAGCTCAGCAGTGAACAGTTACTCCCCACAGCCTCAGTGTAGTCCTTAGAGAGTTCTAGGGGAACTCGGCCTATACAGCTATTTAAGAACTAAGAGCATTATTTTGTGTCTTAAATTTTTTAAATTTAATAAAGACTCACAAAAACTGTTTACGATTATAATTGTTAATAATTACAGAACAGTATTAACTATTTTATTAAAAATACCAATCAAAGGAAGAACCTCAATGTCATTTCCTAACGGGACGACTGCGCACTGACTTTTGCACGCTGCCTCCCAACGCGGGGCAAGTCACCCCCGCCCGGAGCAGGGGCAGCGCCCGTCCTGCGGCTGCGCCGAGCTGGCTGCGCCGAGCTGCACGGCGACCCCCACGCCCGCACGGCTGCAGCCTGGCGACAGGGAGCCTCTGACCGCCCCTCTGATTTAACCACTCAAGAACCAAAGTATCTTAAATGAACAGAATTTTAAGGAGTTCTAAAAAGGACTTACTTCGTATTTGCCTACTGATGGGTTTCATGGGTTCGAGCCAAACCTGAAGAGGATTTAAGGAAAGAGAACAAGTCCGTTAGAGGACGCCTCTGCTGACGGCTCAGCGGCTGCAGGCCGCGAGACACCTGTGGCGAGGGATGCTGTGGGCGCGGGCGATTTGGCCCCAGTGCTTTCTCATAGGGGGCACATCCTGATGGGGATGCAGAGGTGTCGTAGGCCCCCCTGAGGGCGGGGGCTGAGCTGGCTGTGCAGGGACCTCGCTAAGTCACAGGCGCCGGCGCCACCATACACAGAACGGCACCCCCAGTCCTTTGGGGGATCTGCTGAGAGCAGACAAATGTTTGCCCACGTGGCGCAGAACACAGCCTGCGAGGGCCGGCGTGTAAGCAGAGGCCAGGGCGTGACCGTGCCTTTAAACTACCGGGCTGGTTCCGGCTTCCATCGCACGGTTTCCTCTGTAAACATTAAAGCTCCAGTCTTTGAAAGGGCCATCTGCTGAACAGAGTGACACACGACCAGTCTGGTAAAACCGTTTGCTCAAAACTCACTCTCCGAGCAGCCGCGGTGCAGGAGGCCCCTGCCAGCAGCGCCACGGGGAGAGGGCCCCTCGGCCGTGTGCGTCCAGGGCAATGCGCGTTGCTTCCGGGGAGGTGGGCGCACGCTCCGCAGCTCTCAGCCACGCGCTCCAACGCTGCAGCTCTGACTGCAACTGTGTTCCGGCTAGGAACCACCTTACCTGCATCGCGACAGTTGTCCACAAGGCTCTCGGGGACCCGTGGGTGTCGCGAGGACGCTACAGCCCGCACAGTGCCTATTTCCGAATGAGTGAGAAGCACCTACCCAGTAGGATGGGACATTCTGAAACTCCAGCCCGAAGTAGTCGCACTCGGTCAGGTTCAAACGCCGCCACACGCGCGTCAGTAAGAGCTGGCCGTCGCTCCTCGGCTGCAGCGAGACAGGAGACAGCACGGGGGGGGGGGGGGTGCGTTGTAGGGGGTTACAGGGCTGCAGGCAGCGAAGGGCACGGGCGCCGAGGCACAGGGCTGCTCCTGGCACGTGAACTGCCGGGCAGCCCCCTTCTTCCCCCTCCCTCCCAGGAAGGCTGCGGACTGTCGCAAAGCAAGGGAATGGGTCTGGAGCTCTTTGTGCTTAGAAGCTGATACCAAAGGAAGCTAGAAAAGTCCTTCAATTTTACATTCTCAGTGTCTGTGGTCGTATTTCTTTATAACTTTAGGCTACAGAAGCCACTTTTAGTCTCAGTGAACATTTTATCGAACTCTGATATGTACTAAAAAGGCGGGCCTCGAAGCCTGTGTTTGCGTAAGATCCCAGTGACCGGCACAGCACTGGGCGGCACTTCATGCTCGGGGGGAAGGGCCGGACCTTTTTCAGACAAGGCGGGCAGTCAGCTCCAAATGCCAGCACCCTGGGGGCCCGAACGACACCAAGGGGAACAGGTCTGCACCCTTGGGGTGGACAGAGTCTCCTCAGCGGAGCACAACGGAAAGACCGAGGGACCCGATTAAGTAAAAACAAAAAACTTCTGAAGAGGAAGACACAGAACAAAGTTACAGGCTGGAATTGGCCTGAGAGACCGAGTCCCTCAGGCTGCCCCCCGTGAATTGGGTGCAGAAGTGCCCAGCAGGGCAACACGAGGGCAGCCACAGTGTGTGGCCACACGTGCGGCCACGGGCGCACAAGGCCGGGCCGCTCGGAAACACCTCGAAATGCAGTGTGCAGAACGCCTCTCCCCAGCCCTCCCGCCTCAGAACCTCCTCCTGCAGATCCTCTCCCACACACTAGGCAGAGCTGGACACGCAGGACAGACTCAGCAACACACTGGTGACAGACAGTGGGACACCTGTGCCTGAAAGCACGCGTCCCTCGGGGAGCACAGCACCCTGCACGCACGATCGCGGGATAAAGTCCAAGACGCAGTTCCATTCAGGAAAAAAAAGTTTCCATGCCCAGAGAGTGTACACAATACAATCCCATTTGACAAAACACACGCCCCATTTACATACAATGGAAACCAGCCTGGAAGGCTGGACACGCATCTCTACAGGTGACCACTGCAACCACAGTTAAAGGACATGAACTGGGCAGGGATGGGGACGAGGGCTCTCGCATTTACCTTGTATATGAACTTCTGGGATGTCTGCATTTTCTTCTATGGGCACATCATTTTTGCAATTAAAAAATAACATGCGCAAGTGTTTATGGGAGCAGGCAAATCTCTGTTGTTCCAAAGGACATTATGCCCCTTCAGGCTTAACCACCCGATTTTCTGACCGTGCACTCAAGTGTTCATGTCCCTAAAACGAGAATTCTTGTTTGGAGGAGCCCTGCATTCTGTCCTAACGAAGAGGCAGAGATGCAGCAACATGGGTCCCTCCGAACGAAAGGGGAGCTACCCACGACCTACACTGCAAATGCGACACAAAAGACCGAAGGGCACGCCCCCTGCGTTCAGGCCCCGCTGCCGCCCCTCGTGCAAGTGTCAGGCGGCAGCCCCAGGACGTGGTCGTACCTCCACCCTGGGAGGCTGTCTCCAAGCCAGGTGTCCTCTGCACACCTTCGTCCGCCGTCACCAGCGTAACCACGCGGTCCCTTCCCTCTATTCTCCTTGCTGACCAAAGGGACCAAGTCGTGCAAGACTGGAGGTAGGGGCTCCACAGGATCACTCAGCTTGAGTGCACAGCCCTGCACGGGGGGCGACCCGCATGCCAGGCTAATCCCCGCGCAGCAAGGCCCCTCTCGCCTTCCTCCTGCTGGCCGGCAGCGTGTCCTCGGAGAGCCCGGCCCACGGGCCCCCACTTACCGCCGCGTCGCCTGGTGCTCCTCTCCGGCCACACGCGGCCGGCGTGGCTGCGCGCGCCTGCGTCTGGGTGCGTCCCTGCGACCCGACTGCGGATCTGAAGGGCGGGGACTGCGTCTCCCCCGCCCACGAGTCCTCAGGCCCAGTCCGTGCGTGCGAGGCGTGCCACCTGCCCGACCCCCGGCCCCCAAACCACAGCCGCTGCTCCGCAGCCTCAGCGCCGCCCCGCCGGCCTTCTGCTCCTGGGCCGCACAGCGGGCCTGCCCCCGAGGCTGCCCGCTGGGCTGAGGGACGTCAGCGCACACCCTGTGGGCAGACACCCAGGGGCACGTGCCCGGTGCATCCTTACCCTGCAGGGCCCAGCACCCCGGAGAGGGCTCAGCAGCCTGCTGCAGAAACGTATTGTTACACGCACATTTGCATCTGCACACACACATACACATGCATGTGTGATCCACACATGGAGAGGCACATCCGTGTGAATGGACACACACATGCATGGACACACGAGGTTACGCACATATATGAACACACACATGATACACAGACATATGCATGAACACATGTAGCAGCATGTGTATGCAGGTGTGTTTAACCTCCTGAATTGGAGTAAATTGTACTGAACTGAAAAAGTTTTGCAAGTCAATTATCCCATGTTCACATAAGAAAAGTAATTTTGGATTCTGTGCGTCACCTGAAATACGTATCAGACTCCTACAAAACCCATCGGAATCAGGTGTTTTCATAAATCGCGTAGAACCAGACATTTCTAAAGCTATTTTAAATTGGTCCAAATAACAGTAGTGTGGAATCCCTTCTAAGTCTTTTTTGTGAAAAAGAACCCCTAAACTCCAAGCAAATCCACACACACACAACCTACAGAAAAATGTCCATTTATGGATATCAATAAAAATATCCTCAATAAAATATCAGCAGATGTAATTCAGTAACAACTAAAGAGTAATACGTCATAGTCAACTAAAATTATTTAAAAGATAGAGGATAACGCAATATAAGATGAGAACATCCATTACTCCATTATATTAATACACCTGCAGGGGAAAACCCAGTCCTAGGAGGAGCCCCAGAACCCAAGATGCCGAGAGGCGTCCGATGAAACTCCACTTTCGCTCTTGGTATCGACTCTTAAAGGACGTGGGAGAGACCGGCGCCCGCCGCCCGTCCACGCAGGCGGGTCGCTCCCCGCAGGGCACCCGCGGCTGCTGTGCTGGCTCTGACATCAACACAGGAATCAGGAGGGAAGATCAGAAAACAGGAAGAAAAACCATTGGCAGGGAGACTAGATGACGGGAAATCCAAGAGCATCAACTAGAAAACTATTATGAAAAAGAAGGAATTCCATCTGGTGGTGCAAGAAAATTATTCCAAGACACCAACAGCTTTCACATGCACCGGTCAGCACCATTTTCAGGGCAGAAAGGAAGAAACCACCACATTTGTAGCAGCAGCAGCAACAACAGCAAAGCATCTTGGATAAATTTAACAATGAAGGGAAGCTTTGCGGAGATCATGTAAAGACCACTGTTGAGAGAGCTCAGGGGTGGGGGCAGAGCCTCCACAGATGCGCAGGGCCTTCCGGAATAACCCGCCGTCGGGATAAAGGCGCCGGCAGCACAGCCTGAGGAGCGGGGAGGCTGGCCCTGCAGCGGGTGTGCGCGTCTGAAGGCGGAAGGACGGGATTTCTGGAAAAGGGAAACAGGAGGAGTGGCTTTATCAGACATTCAAATTGTTGAAAATCATGGTAATCAAAGTGCTTGGTCCTGGCGAACGTCTACGAAGGCAGCGAAGAGATGTATCCAAGCACAACATACAAGGTGCTGGAGTGTCTGACAAAAGTGACACTTCAAATCAATCAGTGGGAGAAAAACAGATTTTCCTATGAATACTATTGGGTACCCACTGGAGAAAATAAGGTTGTGGTCTTACCTCACAACATAACTTCAAGATGAGTGAAACATCTAAGCACAAAAACATGTATTCATGAAAGCGACGCAATGAGATGATACTGTTTTGTGCTGGGGGTGGAGGGGGGAGCAGGCCATTCTCAGGACACTCGGAAGCCAGAGGCCATAAGAGCAGGACAGAGAGACTGAAAACACAAAATCAAAGACTGCCCAGAAAGAAGCACTGTAAAGTCAAAAGACTTTTTCAAAGACAGAAAGGGGAAAAACACTTCTGGCTCCTATTACAGACAAAGGGCTAATTTCCTTAAAACATAGCAAACTTCAAAAATCAGTGATGAGATTAGAGCTGAAAAGAAAAATAGTCAAAGAACAAAGCTGTTCACAAAACAAACCTAAATGATGTTGACAGATACACACAGAGGCTCCCTGCATTCATGAGAGATGTGAAAACCAAAATGCAGCTGAGATTCCATGCTGTGCCCATCAGACGGGCAGAGCTCAGAGTCTGAGCACCCGCGGGGAGGGGGTGGGGCCATTCTCTCAAAAACTCCACTTCTAACAAGTAATTCACAGGTGCAAAACCATGCATATAAACAAGCCTGTTCCAAATAGTGCCTCCGCCAGCAAATGACTAAACATACCCTGGGCCCTGGGGATGGGGCAGGACCGGGGCCGAACCGGCACACCTGGCACCCTCAGGGGCCGCGGCCCACAGCCACTCAGCGCACACGCACGTGCCGGGGTGCGGAGCCGTGCCCGCCACGGAGACCTGACCGCAGTCGTGCCAGCGGCGCCCCACTCCCCGACCGGGCAAGGCTCTGCGGAGCAGCCGCAGAGCAGAGTCTGAGCGGAGTCCTGGCTGCTCGCGTGGTGGGCATGCTGAGCCTAGGTGTCCCTCATGTGGCAAACAAATACCATTCTTCCCCTGGAAGAGGGTTTGTGGGGATGTAATGCAGTGATGCTCCGCCCAGGGCCTGGCCAGGTGCCCTGTCGGCACCCCCGGAGCCGGGCTCTGACGCCCGCCGCGGCCCCTGTGCGGGGCTGCAAGGAGAAGGGCGCAGCGGGGACGCAGTCCTGTGTTCCGTGACAGGCGCTCCACTCCACACCGCAAACGGTAACGAATTTCTCCTGCCAAAATGTATGAAAGCTCACTATCTTTTCCGCAGTGATTTTTAGATACAAATTTTAACAGTATTTTTCAC